ATAATTCTATCATAGAACGAACATCAGTTGCGTTGCAAAAGGATCCTTCGTGGCAACATTACGAGTCAAAATAAGCCACTTAAAAGGAAAGCCCACTCACTAGCTGCTGTCGATCATCCATCAACCACTAGTTGCCTGCTGTCCTGTGCCCAGAACTCTAAACGTAAAATTTCATTGCCGTTTATAAAAGCTTTTCGTCTGTATTTTATGAAACATATAATTTTATTTCCATTTTTAACCAAATAAGATATCGATAAGCATACATAATATGCTTTCTGGAAGAATCTGCACAATAAACTGCTTTATCAACATATAAAAAAATTAATGAACATAAATTCAGTTAAATCTTTGAGCAAACATATTATTCTCATTCAAAACATTCAAATATTTGAAGCATTATCCACATGGTGTGAGCTCCGAAAATAATGGAGTATAGGATTCTAAGTTGCCATCTACATCCCCAGTTCCAGATAAAGGGTATGATAAATTTTTCATACGAGAATTGTGTGAACTAACTGAGCCACAAATTACAAGCGGCAAAATTTCAGGGGATATATATGCATTGGTAGGATATATATAAGTAGTCATTAGATAAATCATAGTTTGACTCGACATAAAATAATGAAGATGGCAAATGTAAACCACAGAAAAGAGGACACGAAATTCAGATCAAGGCCATATAAGAGGATACGACTTTTAAAATAACACAAAAATAGGCTAAAAGTATTAAAAATATTAAGAATGGAATAGAAATGAAAGTTCATGGAAAACCTTGTTTCCAAATATTAAAGCTCATTCGCAGTACATTAAAAATCTAATCTGATCAACAATAGATTGATATCAAATGAAATGTAAAATCTTACCGAAGGATATGACTTGAGCATTGAAGAGATGGCGACATATACGAATGCAAGAAAGCATGGACGATGACTCAGACGTATGGCCAGTGGCAATAGCATGAAGAGAATATTTATATTAAAAACTATCAGAAAGAAACCCCTGAAAATTTCAAAGACCTCTGCAAAGAAGTACCTGCAATACATCATGAGATACGTGAGCAAACATAAAAGATGGACCTTGTGAATTAATTCAAATATTGGTTTTAAGAATAATAACAGGAAACCAAAAGTTGATTCCATCTGTTCATTAGTAAACAAACAAAAAGTTAATCATGTTTGATTCTTTTTGCATGAGCGGATGGCACAGAAGAAGTAATAGTCGTCAATTAAGAGGAAAGTGTCCTCCATGAGCTCACCATAGTACACCTATATTGGGGGATAAATCCTCCACGGTTAGAATAAATCCGTATGTTCTGCAAAAAGCCAGACAAATGGAAAGCAAATTAACGAAGCGACATCAAATAATGAATCATTATAAAAGCGCACAGAATACAGAGGAAAGAAAAAACAAGAATCACAGTAAGTTGGTTTCAGTTAAAATAATCAATGTTACACCAAAAGTAACAATAATTTCAGTATGAATGAAATATTCTATGAAAATGCCCAACGAAGTAGTCAATCATGCATAGGAACAGAAAAAGAACAAGTCTTCTACTAACTCGAAAAACATTCTTTCTAGCTTACTATCACTGATTGCTCCTCCCCAAAGAGGTGTACAAATATAAGCTCATACATCTCATACATCATAAATTCATTACAGTTTCTCTTCTGGTGCCCCAAGGAGATTTGCAGAAAGCAGTGACACTATCTACATGAACCCATCCCAGTGAAATTTTGCTCTCATTTCATGTCTAAGAAATTTCCACTCTATAACTAGCAAACGATTTTCACCCAGTCCAACATGAAACCCGCAAACTTTGAAAGAAAACATCAATCCTTCTACGAGATTCAAGATGATTTGATGTATTGAATATTGACTTGAAGCATAGAATGAGTGACTGCCTATTCTCTACAGTTGAAAACAGCATACTATAAGATAAACTGAGACTTGTGCTGTACACAATTCAAGTGGGATTTGATCGAATCCACTTTTCTGAATTTTCATGAACGAATTAAAAAAAGTACCTCCATAAGAAGATGCAATTTTATAAAACAATGATACTACCCCACATGACTTGACAGAGTTAATATTTGCGAAAGTGCAGTTGACAATGACCAAGACATTACATCGGTACTCAAAAAACTAGCAGCTGAAATTGGAAATATTGTACCTCGGCCACATTTTGGTATTCAAGCAAGTAAAAAAATAGTGCACATACAAACATAAAATAGTTTTTATAGTGGCTAACACTAGGGCACAGAGGCGTGGCAGTTGTTAATTGCTAAAAGATAAAACAAAAAGGTACATTGCATCTCTTAACAACAATTTAACAATACAATTATTACGGTGCCCTCAGTAAATATGCACAAGAAAAATACATAATGGCAACAACAGAAAAGCTGAAACTGAAGCAAGGATCTTACTTCTTAAACATTTCTGTAAGACCACCAAATTTTCCTAGTGAAATGCTACTTAAAGCTAGTACGTAAGCTGACCAGATGAATGCCCATAGTATGAATGTCATAACCGGGCGCCATGAAAACCGGGAAACTTGGAGGTTCTTCAGAAGATGCAATTTCTTTGGCGGTGCATCAGGGCCATATCCTAATAAAAGAATTACCTGAAAGAGAATTTCTTTTAGAAAAGCAATAGCGTACTGCAGCAGACCTTAGGAACCAATGCTTTCGTTCCAATTAAATAAGATAAGAGCAAAGGACGTACTGGTATAATTAGAATTACTGGGTAAAGAGATAAGTGAGTTGCAATGGCCCATCCAAAGGCAGACAACGGAACCAAACCTGAAAAATGTTTAACAACGAAATTCAGAGTAAATGCACAAACAATTTTCAAGGCGGGATGGCTTGCAATTCACCACCACAAACAGTTAATTAATGTACAGGACATGCATATACTCCCAAATCCTGACGAATGGCATAAAATAACAACAATGCATAGGTACAATATGCTCAAAACCATATGTGAGAAAAAAATAATATATCAAATCCTTGAGATCTCTCTAGCCATTGAGATTATGTAGGCTTTTGATCCCTTGATGTATTGTTGATTACAGATGATACATTGCACTTCCTTTTCTCCATTACCAATGGCCAGTCATCAAGGAAAGTTATTAGATCGGGGAAAAACCAAAATGGTTTCCTCTCATGAACCAACTTTGATTCCTTTCCTCTCAAATAATTAATCGCATTAATGGTAATGGGATGGTCCACTGATCTCTCAAATTTCGAGTGACAGCTTCCCCAGTGCATAACATGAGACAAGTTTCCACAGTACCTGCCATATAATAGGAAAAATTTGAAAATTATTTTCCAGCTTATGCAAACAACATTGCATTTTATGGATAGATGCTCCACAAGTTTTTGGAACCCAGCTCAATCATTAAATGGCCTTTATTCACAGACACTTTAGAAAAGGATTCCAATGATTTTACAGGTTAAACCACACAATTTCCACTTGAAATCTCACCAAAATGCATTTACTAAAATGTTTCAGCGTAAATATACCCTGTATTTCCCATTTTAGGATTCCGTTGTCTTAAGTTAAATGGAGAGTGATTTTGGAAGAACAATTACTGCATCATTACTGGATTTTCAGTTCTCAAGATAGTACTATTTCTTCTACGATGAAACGCACCTTCAGCTTGTTGTCTGATATGATACACAGGTCATTCCCCATCAGACGATAAATCATACAATCTGCTCAATTTTAATATCTTTTCGTTTCATCTGTGAACCAGCATTCCTCCCAAAACCGAATAGTTTGACTAATGTCAGTTTGGAGGATGCTGATGCAGACAAAGATGTGACATTTTGATTAAACTCCTTAGGGATTCATTGTCACAACAGTAAGGCGGATATCGACCGATAAGATGACTGGATTTTGCCTTCGATCCATCCAGTCAATTGTCTGCCACGGGATTTACGAAGGCTAGCTTCCTATAAGCTATGAATAACAATCTATGGAACCGTTGCCTCATCCCGTATTTGCTGTAGTTCTGTAATAATTAAACTCTTTTACTCCTGAGGCCGGATGCAGTGTAGTAGCCAGCTAAAGATCTGCTTGTTCCTGCCACCTTTCACTAGGAACTCAACCATCAGAGTGAATCCGCAAACCCATTGCTCTGTCAGAAACTTTGCTGCGAAACGATGAAGGGTACTTTCTTACATTTAAGCTTCTAATGGAGCTTTAGATCAAGGCAAAGAAATATTTCTATTGATGCTTAACAAGAAAAATATGATTACCATTTCAGAAAAATATTGATGCTTAGCAATATTTCATTAACATAGTAAAAGGAATTCATCGTAGACACATTACCACTTCAGAAAGGAAAATATGATTGACGGATATACATCAATGTAAACTGAATTGGATCAAGAAAAGTTATTTATATCTTACGTGAGCATGCTCCGTACAGGGAAATGATGACCATCAAATTGTCAATTGCTGACGTTGACATCCCTACAGAAGCAAGTATTCCCATAGGATTCCAAAGAAAAATGAGCGAAGCTACTTCACCAGCATCCACATTCCCTGTAAGCAGCACAAATGATATCACACTGCAATGAATAACATCGGTTGAATATTATATTGTAGCATAAAATCATTTAGTTCATCAAGATTCCTCTAAATGACATATGATTCAACACATAGGAATTAGAAAATAAAATAAGTACAATGTATTGTATCATAGAAATTCCAAATTCTAATCTTCTAAACGGTATAAATGGTCATCTGTCTCCAACACGGAGAAAAAAGATATCAAACTAACAGAGAGAGAGAGACAAATCTAAGAAAGCATTTCTGCAAAGGAAGCTAATGCAGCATCACAATACATTTTCATCAGTACATGTTTGCCAATTTGACAATAACATGATATACAAATGAGAATTCATCCCCGTTTACGACTTACTTGAAGCCTCTAACAGATTTGGATGTTTTGCGGATCTTAAAAATTGCTTGTAACCCGATTGAAGTTTCCTACCAGTTGAACGGAGAAGCATAGCAGTGACAAAATCTGCCATTACAAATATCATTCTGTGTACCAGAACATAATTATATCAATGAGACATCCATAAAATAAGTTCAGAAACATGAATGGACAGAAGGTTTCTAGAGAAATTAATAAAATGAAAGAAAGACAAAAATTGGAACCAGGAGGCCTCTCGGTGCAAGGTATTCTTATGTCAGAAATTTCTGATTTACATAACGCAAATCAACAATGGGTCTAGGATAGAATAAATGAAGGCAAATCTGTTATTACCCACAAAATAGATAATCTGATCGACCTTCAGTCCTGTACCAAATAAAATAGTCCAGTCAATATTTCCCGGTACAAAGTAGATATGACATCATAACCATGGAAAGTGCATGCAAACATATATAAAGACATACATCGATCACTTGAGAGCATTACCTTTTAGCAGTCAGAGGCCCCAGAATTGCCAATAAAAGAGGTGAGCCATGATACATAGAGCCTGAAAATAAGTAGCAGAGGAGATGCTATCATCATATAAAATAAAAGCAGGTCTATAACTGAGAAAGTAGGTTGGAATGAGCTAAAGAAAAAAACGTATTACAGCATGAAGATATCAATAGATGTGCAACTGATAAATGGAAAGCTGAGACTTTGAGCACTTTCTTTGAGGTAAGTATCAACTGATAGCTCCTCATCCACCAGAGCTGAAGAGCCAGCAAATGGAATGAACAGAAAATTCAAAAATTCGGTCCTATAGCAGCAGATAGCATGCTACATCCATCCCCTAATAATAAGATAATTCAAGGGACAGAAAACAGCCATGTATGAATATTGCAAATGGTGACAATCGTGAAATGAAAAATAAGTGTGAGTGGGAAGAAGAGATAACAAGCACAGTAGGCCAGGGAGATTGTTCACAAGCAGAGGAAGCTTCAACCCTTCAAACATTGAAAACTATAACGCATCATTGCGAGTGGTCGTGCATTTGGGATCTCAAACTCTCAATGTAGCAAATATTGTTTCTTTTTTTGAGGTTTTTTCCTTAAACTGCAAATTAATGAAAAGTTCATTAACGGAACAACTCCATAGAAAAGAGTAGTTTTGCATCTTTCGCTTCTTTCGGTCCCATGTATGAACCCACTGTCGGTTGTTGCCTTGTTCAGAAGGTTCCTCAGTCTTTTTTCCGGATCGACTGTCTTTTCCAAATAAACAAAATCGTAGAACATAATGAAACGAACTGATCCTTGTCTGAAAGAACGGCCTTGCATTGCAAAAGGAACGTTCTGTCCAGATAAGGAGGCTTCAAAATAGAGCAAGCAAACAAGCTTATTTTGCGCAAAAACCAGTTCAATAATGGTAAAGCTCATTTCTATCCCGGGTGGAGACGGGGGTCAACGGTAACAGCAGTTCCAAGTCCAAATTGCTAAGCACTGGACTTGTTCTGGTAAATTATGATCCAATTTTTCCAGATCCGATCTGTGCTGCCCATTTTTAAAAACCATAGACTAGAGTAATATCTTCATCCGCTCATTATGTCATACACAGTATATCTTCAACTCCATTTCTTTTGTCTGTTTGACTTATCATTGCAAAAAGTAATCTCTGGCCAAAATTCTATCCACATACGATGTTGAACTTACTAGAAGAAGTGTAATAAGAAGAAGATCCGAATAACTGACGTGAAAGACGTCCCACCAATCAAAACGGAACGCAAAGACATAAAAACACGGTTGTCAAGCACCCATCTGAAATGATGGATCCAAAATGTCCGAGTGCCTCGTTAGAGCGACAATGGGTAGAAGTTGGGGACACAAACTATGAATGACGACACAAAGTTACTCCATCAGGGAGCTTCTGAAATCCATGCAACGACCTTAAAGAATAACAAACCTATGGAATTGACTATTTTTTCTAACGGGGAGAGAAGTCACCATACGGATCAGTTCACGTGCCACAAAGGGAATGGGACCTTAAGCCTGATACGCGAACGCTTTTTGACTAATTTATAAGATATTATAAAGGAGAAAAAATGACGAACGATGGCGCAAGCAATCCTATCCCAATTAACAGGAGAGAGCCGAAGCAGATGGACAAAGACGAGATCGAACCTGAATACGGGGACATCCCCAACTTCTTCAACCAGTAACCTTCCGCCACTGTACACCACAATCACAAGATCCTCGAATTAATGGCAACACAAAAAATACACGAAAGATCACTAGCGAGGGGTAACAATGGCAGAAGGCCCTACGCCGGCGGATGCTGGTAAGAGGCGTCGCCACCTCAGGGCGGGTGTCCAGCTTGAGGCTCCCAGAGAAGCCGATCAGCGCCACCCGGAACAGCACAGCAGCCGCCAGCCAGAACCAGTAGCGGGCCGTCGTCGCCATCCCACCACCTGCTTCCCTTCGCTCCGCCATCCCTGCTGCTTTCTCCACTCCGTCTGCTTCCCCGCCCACCGTCCCGATCTCGTGTACAAGAGAACTAGGCCACAACGGAAATTCAGATGCAAATAAACGGGCTCAGCAATCTAACGGCCCCCAAATCTTTTCTGACATTACTGTCAGTGGCCCAGGTAAGACCGGCCCGGTCCAAAACTGGGCCAGCCAAGATTTTCATTGACTTCGGCCCAAATTCGAACCGGGCAATCACTGTCTCTCTCTCTCTCACCCTTAACCATTGGCATCTGTCCCCAACAATTACTCGTAGGTGTTCAATATTGCAGCAGAACAGCGGCAGGCGACTCGGTCCCTCCAGATATTTGTAGAAATTTCCCGAAGACATCGAGAAATTTACCATAAATAGAAAAAAGTCCAGGGAGTACAACACCGCCGTTCTTCGGTCAGACGAAAAGCCCATGCAAGAAGGGCCCACCAATGTGGCTTCGGGCTGTGGAAAGTCAACGGGTTGGTTCTTCGACTTAACAGACCTCACAGAGCCGGGCAGGAGCGCGGCGGTCAGAAAAGTCAAACCTAGACCCGTCCTACTTCACTTTCTTCAGAGGGAGTGGGTCCAAGTCAAAGGTTACTGTACACCGGCGGGACATTCCAGCCGTCACGAATTCCATCCCCAGTCACCGGTCAACAATCCGCCATCCTGCAGCTCCTGGGAGATTTCCTGGATCAAGTCAGGGAGATGGGCATCAGCTGGCAATAAGTCAACGGGCATCTGGTTGCTGGAGACGGAATTGAAGCTGCTGTTCCTGCTCCAGACCATCCCGCCGCCATTTCCAGTAGGCTCTGGTGGCACCCTCGCCGCCGAGCTGCCAGCAATTCCGCCGCCGTATACGCCCTCAGGAGGATTCCCATCGCCGGCGGTGGCCGTGGCGGCGGCGGTAGTAGCCCCCTCGGCAGACCGTTGCGGCGGCGCTCCTCGGCTGTTCATCACCTCTTGCATCATCTGCTGAATCGCTTGGTGCCGCTGCGGCGGTAGGTTGGCCGGAGGAGGCCATGGACTATTTGCCCCACCTTGCGGAAGCTGCTGCTGGGTGGGCCTAAGAGATCCCGGAGCTGGAGCAGGGAGATGAACTGAGCTGCCAGACCGCCGTCTGGTCGCAGCATGATGAGAGTAGTTCCTGAAGCTCTCTGCAGATGACAAAGAACAGCATTTAATTTCTGCCAAAAATAGAAACAATAACAGGGAGCAGTGGAGGGCATCTACCTCAAACAATAATAAGTATTTATATATTTATACAAAAAAACGATGAACATGACAGCAACGGATAAATGAAAATAATTATTAAAAAATAATAATTCCGGCGGTCAAACGACAAAGGGACGAACCAATGGGTCCAATCTTTTGCTCCCAGCTGAAGTCGATCAAGTCTTTCATGCAATTCACCACCTCTGATATCTGTTGACCATAAAACCAGTTGAATGATGGCAAACATGGTCAAACAGGAGAAAATAAAGGATTTAATTCCACGCCAAATACCTGCAAGCAGCGCACATATCTTCTAGAAAATCCCAAGTCATTCAATGAGTGAGATTCAAGACTTCTTGCTAGATGGCGTCCCGCCACCATGAACCTGCAGAAATGACTACATTTAGCAATATGGTGGAATCAATGGATCGATTCGGTTCCGATGGCCTCACTGGGCCCCTAGAAAACTGGTAAGAACAAGCCATCAAGTGATACAGAGGAACTGAATTGAACAGGCACGGGCATCCAGTATAGGATGCTTAGTATCGCAAGTAATTAACCCCATAATACCAAACATTTGAAAAGCTTCTCAGGTTGCATCGATTATCAGATTGAGGATTCCTACTTCTCTGAAATAAGTCAACCAAAAAAAAAAAACACATGAACCGATTGAAAGAGGGATCAACATCATTATTGAAGAAAGAGGATTTCTTTGGACTGTCACCAGCCAAATTTCCACGGCTTTGAACCCATGCCAAATGTCAACTCAAAGTAAGTTCGCATGACTTAGATGGCATTCATGCAGATTTCCAAAACCATAGATGGTTCGCGTTTTGTGTGACTTCCATTTAGAAGATGATTGACAAAACAGATTGGTTCAAACTAAAAAAGCACATTATTTTGGCGGATTAGTTTTCTTAACAGAATCAAAAAATCTATTGCAAAATTGCTTGCAAGTCAAATTATAATTTTTTGAGAAAAGGTGATCACTTGCAACTCGATCGGTTTCATCAGAAGGTGGCCAATTCAGAAGAACTTACGGTAGCCAAAGGATAATGAAATGAAAAGGCAATAGAAGAAAAAGCTAGTGACATGAGAATGTATCTTAGGAGTGCTACAATGAATGGGCTTTGGCAAAGGACGTATTGGCAGGATCGAATGTTGCATCAGTTCTATCAGATTATATAATTGATCCATGGAGTTCATTGGAATCGATCAAAAAGATATCTTGTAAGAGGACGAGAGTACGAGCCATACAACATAGCAACACCGATAAAGTTTCTCAGAAATAGTGTTACAGTTGACATATGAGAGATGCGCTGATGCTACGTTATGAGCTTTGCTTAGCTGACCCTATGATTCTCTTTGGAAAGGGCAAGTTAAGCAGGGCAGGGTCTTATCTCTAAATGCCCCGTTTCATCACTCTGCAGGAAACCAAAATAATTGCATTACAGTGACAGAGATTTTTGATATTAGATTAAAAATAAGAGGCCAGTACCCCATTTTTAAACTTTTAATATTTAGAAGTAACCTACGATAAAACGCTTCTATGCTTTCATGAAACTATTAATGTACAAGTGTATGAGCAATACCGTGTAAACGCACATGGCAATCAAGACGACAAGAAAGTTTATACTTGAACACGGAAAGAAAAGCAATGCAGGTAGCCTCATTGTAAAATATTTTGATTTAATCTGAGAGCTAGAAAAAAACTTTTGTTCATTTGATTGGCTTCAGCCAACACTGCCACACTATTTAAAAACCCAGCTCACTCACATATTTAAGTATGCTCGCAAATCCTGAGGGGAGAGCCCTGCAGATCCGTTTTCAGATACTCCACTTTGATACTTCTGTGCAACTTGCCCGAACTGATTCACCTATAAATGGAATGTAGTGGTTAATCACTACACAAAACTAGAATAATCTTGCAAAATGTTAAGAGTAAACTGAAAATGATTACAACTAGTACCAAACAGGCCAATAGAAAATTAAACATAAATCATAATGGTCCGGAAAATTAAAGTTCTTTATGCATGGTTTAAGAATTGCGGGTCAAGTTCATGGTAAAAGAATGTTCTCTCTCTAGTAGGAAGCCAAAAAGCTAACACTCAGAGCAATGAAACAGTGACTGGTGCATGCTAAGAGAAAATCATAGGGTACTAACCGTTGGACATGGTAGCCATTGAGTGCAGGAAGAAGAAGATCATCATTTCGTAGGATACAAATATCAGAGGTAACACGTGTCCCAGCAAAGAGGAATACAAATAAGAAAATGAAGACAACATCATCATCACATGGTCTCACCATGACAGCCTGAGTTAATTATCTAGCAAAGAAATCGTAGTTGAGAAAGTAGCATGACATTTGTACAGGATAACATAGGACTTCTTCAGAGTACCATGAGGAGATTCGTATAACCCAGGCGACATAGGAAGAAATACAATTATTTTTTACAGGAAACGAGCAGAAAAGTGGGAAAAAGAATCCCACAGTTAAACTACAACCTTCAAAAGGTAATGTCAGAATATTGAACTCTAGAAAGCTAAAAATGCGTAAAGAATGTGGGATGGATGATTTGATATAACAACGGGGAAGCATCCCCATGCTATGAAACCTCAAAGATAGTAGTCTCTCAATAGCAAGCATTCAATGAATGAAAGTCTCTGATCATAAGATCAAACATGAAATGCTATCCGAGAAAAATGAAAATAAACTGATGAACCTTTTGCACAAAACAAAGAGTCAGTGTAGAGGAACATGTAAGTGGTGTGTGGCCAGAAAACTAAAGCACCTGAGGAGCTACAAGTCGTCGAGGCAAAAGCTCTTCATGGCGTCGTACGCAGAAATCCCAAGACAATATCTGAAGAAAAAAAGGATGAATCATGGCTTCCCAGCTACAAAGACCAGAAACCACTTTGAAATATTTGTACTGACTGGAAAAATAACCCTCGAAGATGCAAATTGTCTTCGAAGGTATGGCATGTACACTGGAAATGCAGTGACTCAACAGAGTACTAGATCCCTAAGACCACTTACTTTCAAATCAGCTGTAAATATGATTTGTAGTTGGCCCTCCTGAATAACATGAAGATTCTCATGGATGCTTTGCAGAGTAGCTTTTGCATACTCCAACAGCATCATTTCTGATGGTAATTTAGATTCTCGGGGCAGATCAAGAAACAGAAGTTCATCGAGGACTCCACTGTCGAATTTTATTTTATTTAGCCTAGGAAGCACTTCAAAAGAAGCCTCTGTTCACATAGAGAACACATAAATTAGCATTAATCATACACCAGGACGTAAGCAATCAGGAAGAGGTATGAAGTAAACACCAGAACATAACATATGAAATAAAACACCATAAATCCCTTGTACGACAAGGATGCTCCAAATAAAATGACAAGCAATGGAAATATGCCCTTCGAACAAACGAAAAATTACAAATCAAGAGTAACTTTTTTCAAGAGGATAAAACCATTATTTGATAATAACCAGTTATTTGATGAATCTCCTCTTCTCTTCCATAAATAAAATCTGACACTTGCAGTGACTCGAACAGATATGCGTACCCACACAGATATCAAAGTATGTATCATAATGCGATGTGATTGCATACATTTAAATAGCACGACAAGATCAGGAATATTCAACAATAAAAGGGAAAATAATCATCAGATACCTTTTTCTAATTTGTATGTGTCTTAAGAGTACAATGAAAAAAATCCACTCTGACGAAGCAATAGGCGAAGAAAATAAAAGAAAAGTCAAAAGACTAGGCACACAAAAATGGTAGACCCAACTTCGTGCTAAAAGGTACACAAGGATAAGAATATCTCCCAACGTGCCATCCCACTTCAAACTCTCACAAAACGCACAGGAACAGTTCAATAGCATTTGTAAGGAGACATTATAATCACTTTTTACTGAAAGCTATTCGTGCATTTTAGCATTACATGTTCAGAAGAATCAATAAAATTTCTTCATGACAGTGTAAATTTGAAATCAAGTCCACAACAGGCTCATAATACGGAATTACTAACCGAAACCCTTTCCAGACTTAGACCCGCATATGTTGCAGTGCCATGAATCCTGCAACAATTCAGCAGAAAAATTCAGGAAACATGTAACGCAATCCAAGCATGGTGTGGAAAAAATTACACCCACGTCCCTATGCATGTTTATGAATGTTTATCTAGCATAGTCTTCCCAACCTGAGAATGTGCATGCAGAACCTTCATAACCAGAACTCAATAACGCCCTGAGCCAACAGAAGAATAGTGTAGGCAGTAAGGAAGAAAACCATAGCTACCTGGGGGAAAGAGCCAAGTGTGTGGCAGCCAACATTATTATGTAATGACAAGCACCACCTTTTCTTAGCTCCTGAAGCATAGTACTCGTTCACAAATTTTCTCCAATAAAGTATATTGTTTTCCTGGGGAAGAAATAAATACAGCATTTTATATGATGCTGAGGAAACTTCATGCGACAAAAACAGCAAAATCCAACTTCGACCATCAACTCACAGGTGGGCGATGACGTTGGTGATAAATGTACTGCATAAGTCGGCGGGCACATATATTAGTATCAGAAGGATGTCTGACGTGGGGTGATTGCTGCTGCTGCAGGTGCTGACTCAGCTGTTGTTGATGCTGTTGTTGCTGCTGCTGCAGATGCTGACTCAGCTGTTGTTGATGCTGATGTTGCTGCTGCTGCAGGTGCTGGTTCAGCTGTTGTTGATGCTGCTGTTGCTGCTGCAGCATGTGCGCACGTTGGATTAATGGAAGAGGCTGAAACATCTGCGACTGCTGCTGCTGCTGCTGCTGTCGTTGTTGCAGTCTCTGCTGATGGATGAGAGCTTGGATCTGTGGATTGATCTCACTCTGCTGCGGTATGGTGTCCTGTCTCTGCAGAAGTTGTTGACCGACCTGCCGCTGGAGAATAGCCTCGTGTCTCATATCAAACCTAGGTTTCTTGTGCGCTTGCAAAACATTGCTCATCTCTTGCGGCGATGACTGAGATGTAGCGGTAGAAGTCCCATGTTTCCGCACCTGCTCCTGATGGGGGTATTGTTGCACGATTGAAGAGCAATCCATCACGGATGAACCAGAAATATTGGATGAGAAAGACAATGGAGACGCTGGCAGGCGCGGATACAAGTCAGCATTGATGCTGCCACCACTTCCCTGCAAGTGTGATCCGCCAGAGAGTGCAGAGTTGGCATCCGTAATCACTGAGCTCGCACCAACACTAGGAGCAGAGGTATTTGCTGCACTGCTTAGGCCCCTGGGATTCATCTCTCCTGATGGAAGTCTAAGGCCAGATCGCGCAGAGTTCAGAGGTGTCTGGCCCAGACCATCTCTCTGGAAAAGATACCGGACACTGAGGAAGATTGTTGTGACAGGCCACCGCCGCCAAGCCCCCCCCCCCCTCCCTCCCCCCACAAGCTCCTCGAGAAGGGGCAACCGAAGGCACCACCTACTCGCCGCTGGAACTCGGGGAGATTCCTATATCCTTCTGATGCCAACCCTCCTGAGACCCCCAATTCCCCGTGCCAGGGAACGGGAATTCCCTAGGAAAGAATTTCCCTGCCATACAGCCGTAATCTCAACCCTCTTCCATGGCAGACATTGCAAAGGAGGGTTGTAACCCTAGCTTTGCGGCATTCAACCATGGAAGCCACAACCTTTCTGTTTCCAGAAGCCGCAGAAGAAAACTACACGGAAAAAACCCGCTGATTAATTAGCCCGCTCCACGAAAACACAGAGAAAAATAACACCCAGAGATGAAAAAATACGAAGCTAAATCGAATCGATTACTACTTCAAATAGAAATACCCCTTTGCAGCACCCCAACCCTGACAATCGGCGAGCAAGCGAATCGATGAAATGGCCCAAGTCAATCCATCGGACAACAGAACTCAACGGCGTTTTCCAAGTAAAGCCGAGATCAGAGGGAAAAAGCTTCAGTGGAGAAACCAAAGCGGGGGCGCGATCAACCCCATTTCGACGGCGATACACGAGAGACACACGGGATCCGAGAACAAGCAATCAGCAAGAGAAGAAGGAAACGAGGAAAATCAAAAGCTCTCTTCGCTCAAATTCCTTCACCAGGCGCGCCATAGATCGAATATGAACCCTCTCCCTCCCAACCGCACGACCGACTGAATCCCTAATCGTCTTCACCCGTTAGCCGATTGATCCCTGAAGAAGACCACAACCTGAGCCCGCTTGCGCTCCCGTAAACCAGCTCTCCCCCTCGGCCACAAATGGGGAATTATCAAATCTCCTCGCTCCTGCGGGGAGGGGGAGAGGAGGGGGAGGGAGGGAGAACGAGGTACTCGTGGGTAATCTAATAAATGCCCTGATGACGAGCACGTATGTAACAACGTACAGACCAATCTGCACGTGCGGGAATACGTTTCAGCTGGGCCGTGTCGGGCCCGAACAAGTTCAGATTTTTACGCCATTAAGTGAATAAAAAATATATCGTGGAAAATAATAAATATTATATTTATTTGTAATATATTATACTTCGAACTAATTAAATAAGACGGTACAATTCTTTTGCTAAATATAATAATCAACGTCATTAAACAGACTGACGACCGTCTGATAGGCTACAACAGAAGGAAGCGAGGAGGAGGAGGTCCCTGCCCCTGGTTTCATGGAGATGGTGAAACACAGATGCGAGAGCAGGGATCCTAACCTCTAGAGAAGAGAAGGTTCCGGAGCTTGCCCCTCTGCAGGCGGTCGAGGAGCTTCTTGGATCCGGGGACGTCCATGTCGCAGAGCTTCTTGAGGTACCCGATGGCGCCGTAGGAGATCATCAGCTTCTTGCACCTCTTGCTGGGAGAGAGAACCAGCAGGCAGCCGACGGCGTACTTCTTGGCGGAGTTGCAGGCGCTCGGGTCGAGGAGGTGGACCAGGTTCGGCACGCTGTGGGGGTCCTTCTTGACCTCGCCGGCGTTATGGGGGCAGATCATCAGGCAGCAGAGCGCCTGCGCGGCGGACTCCCTCGCGCCGCTGGTTTTGGCGGCGAGCATGGCGATCAGCGGCGGCAGGAACCCGTGTTCTCCGGCAAGCTTCTTCATCTCGATGCGGGCGCAGATCTTGCAGACGGTGGCGGCGGACGCCTGCTGAGCGCCGGCGGAGCCGGCCTTGAGGACGTGGACCAGTCGGGGAAGAAGGCCCATGGAGAGGAGGTCCCCGGTGGCGACGCAGCCTACGAGGTTCCTTACGGCGGCTGCGGCGGGTTCCTGCGGCGGCGACGGGCCGTCAAGGTAGGCGAGGAGGCTCTTCAGTCCGCCCTCGGAGACGACGGCTCGCCGGAGGCTGTCGTTGCCGGCGGTGAGATTCTGCAGGCATTCGGCGGCGTGCTCCTTCGAGCCGCTGGCGTGGTAGGCGCCGTCGAGTAGGTCGATCATCATCGTTATCGTCCCTTCGTCCGCTAGGTTCTGCCGGATTTCCGGGATCGCCGAAAGGTTCTTCAGCGCTGCCGCCGCCGGCGCCTGCAGGTGGGGCTCGCCGGAGCGGAAGGTCTCGATTAGGGGGCGGATACCGGCGGCAGCGGCGATGGCTCGAGCAGCGTCGGCAGACATGGAGAGCCGCTGGAGGGAGAGCACCGCCTTCTCCTTGCTCACTCGGGTTCCCGTCTCCGCCAGCCTGATCAGCGGCGGGAGAGCGCCTTCTGAAAGTAACAGGTTCTCGCAGGAGACCGACTCCGCGAGGGAGCAGATTGCAGTGGCCGCCTTCTCCCGGACCTTGGGGGAGGTGGCGGCGAGGAACTGTACCAGGGCGGAGATACCTCTCCGGCTGAGGACGGAGATTACGCTCATTTGGTCCTCCTTCATCGTCTCCAAGAGCCCGTCCAGTGCCCGCTGCTTAGCTTCGGCGTGCCCAATTTGGAGCCTGGCAAGGAGCTCCCGCGCGCCTGGCTGACCGGGCGCCACCGCCGCCTCTGGCTCCGGCGGCGGGAGGGTGACTTCTCCGAGGACCTCCGTCTTGATCAGAAGGCCGCAGTCCCTCAAGGACATGTCCAACTTGCAGGCGAGGGAGTCGAGGTCGCTCTGCATCTGCAGCTTGCCGATGGCCGGGGGATTCCCCGAGCTCGCCAGCTCGATCAGCTCCGTCAGAGTTTTGCAGACCGACTGCAGCTGTTCTCTGCAGAGGACGTTCTTCGAGAAACAAGGGTGGGTGGAGAGCCTGGAGAGGCATGGAGGGAGACGCTCCAGCATGGAGAGGATGGTCCTCCACCGTCCAGTGAAGCCCTTGGTGGCTCTTGTTCTCTCTAATGCTATGGGGAGGAGGCGGTTGGCCTGGGATAGCCAGTGCTCCGCCGGAAGGGCCTCGGCGGCGGCAGCGGCTGTGGCGGTGGCGGTGTCTCCGGTGATGGGGGGCGAGTTCGCCATCGGGTCTGCTGACTCCTCCAAGATGGCCGCAATCTCTGGGGGGAGAACGAAGGCGGGTAGATGGTCATGGCGGTCAGATATGTTCGTGAACTCAAGAAAATAAAGAAAGAAGAAAGAAGGATTTCTGAGGATGAAAGAAACAGGGAGCGAAGAGCGTTAGTTTCGAAGAATCTACGACAGAGCACCAACTCCGTGGAAACCAGCTGAAATGACGGGGAAATGGTCTCCCCGAGAGAGAAGATGCCGGGGAGCGAAAGGAAGGGAAGGGATGACCCCCGAAGGAGAAGAGACGAGAGAGTGAAAAAGACGCCACAACAGCCGGATGGCACCCGCCATTGGCGAGTCAGTCTCTTCTTGCTACAAAACTCCGCGGCGCCTCCGGCGGCGACGCCGTGGGAGCCGCATGACTGGTGGCGCGTCTCCGAACCCATGAAGGGGTGAGGGGCTGCTACAGGAAAATGGGGGAGAGGCAGAAAGAGGCTACCAACTCTCGGACTGTCCCAGCAGAGACACGCTTCCCGGAGCCGGAGATTAAAATTCACCGGAGAAGGAGACTATGGCAACGGAGAAGGAGATTAGGACGACGACAGACAGGGCTTGTTGAGGACAGAGGAGAAGGATTTCTAGATTAAGAAACTGGGGCGTTGAGAGGATCAAACGAAGAGGATGAGAAGGCGACGACGAGAATGGTCCTCTAATGACTTCTCATTTACCGCAAACGACAAAGGGCATTACGTCATACAACGGATATGTCTTCTCATGATGACTACTATGCCCTCATAATACAGTGTATTTTTTAAAATTCACTGTCCGATCAAGGACACGATCGTCAACCAGCGCAAAGCGGCCAGTAGGTCTGTCTTCTCTGTTGATCGCCGGCGGGACGCGCCGGATCCACCACCGGCACCGACTAAGCTACTCTGGGAGACATGGTAAGGTAGTAGAACTTGGCCTTCTCTCTCTCTCCCAGCCTCGCCGAAGCCACCTCCGGCACCGCCGACGGTGCTCTGGAAGAAATGGTAAGGTAGTGGAACTTGCCCCTCTCTCTCTCTCTATCGGTGATGAAGTGTATTCTAAAGCACGGGAACTCCGTGGTCGGAGAAGCAGAACAAGAGACGAGCATCCGACGAGGTACCTTCGTGGTCCCGACGAAGAGCAAAAGGTGCTTCTCTTTCTCGCTTCTCGTTCAATTCAATTCGCTCTCCTTCCACTCGCGTGACGATCCCCGTCCGAAGAAGCCTTCGCGAACACTCGAAGATGAGAGCAGAGCCTCTTCTCCCGGTTTTTGCTAATTCCCTGGAACAAAGCCATTAAGCAGATCAGGCCAGAAACACATGAGAAGAAGAAGAAGAAGAAGAAGAAGAAGAAGAAGAAGAAGATGATGATGATGATGAAAAAGAAGAAGCATTCGATCACAGACCTACCTAGAGAAAGACGATCTCCTCCTACACCGTCGCACCTCTTCTGGAGACGAATGTCCCGTCCTTCTGGAGAGCTCGGGAAGATGAGGAAGCCTCACCAGCCGATCTCCCCGAGCATTTATTTCCCCGAAGCCGGAGGGCTGAAGGCGGCGGCGCTCTGCGAGGGATTCCCGACCGTTCAGAGGGACGAATTTGAAATAGAGGGCACCCGATCTAGGCACAGGCGTTACACGGCTGGGCGGTCCCCCACCCGGTACACGCCACGTGGCATGGCAAATACGTAATTTCTCTGTACACGCCGGTGTATGCTGCTCCCCCCGTTGTTTTAAATAACCCGAATAAATGGAGATTCCCAATTATTTCGAATTTGATTTCTGAAAATTAATTACCCGACTGACATGGGTAATTCCCGCGAGCCATATCGGGCCGCCGGCCGGGGATGGGTCCGGGCCTGGGCCCATCTCATGAATTCTGGTCACAGTGCAGCCCGGGCCCAGACACTACGAGAGATGCGGGCCTCGGTCCGAATCTCAGGGCGTGTGGGAACGTGCGGGCCTGTAAGGTTCTGGTGATTTATAATAATTATTATTATTAATTTATCGCGCCGTCTTTTAATTTTATACATTTATGTATTGAGGACGCCGCGGTTGACTGGCCACTCGCACGTGTAATTATGACCTGCAACATTCATTCCGTCATAATGGGCTTTTTCTAAATGAGGATTTCCTAAAAATAGAAAAGAGGGGGAGCCATGGAAGCTCCCGGGTGGTTCTGATTTTCGGCGAGGAGATTATCTGATTAAGGAAAAAAAATGAGAGATCGACGGCGGGGGGAGCTGAGTTGACCCGGGGCAGCTGGATCAGGGGATCTCAGTTCTTCCCGGGGGAGAGATGAGGAAGGAGTGAGCTTAATCCGGCAGGAAGGTGTTGACCCGTCGATCGATCGAGTCTTATTGTTCTTCTTGTTCGGTCTTTGACTTCGGATTTCTCAGGGAGAAAATGAGAGTGGAAGAGAAGGCCCATTCAATCCGGTGGCAGAGAAGAATGAATGGGGGAGGAAGAGAGACAGTGGAGAGGGAGGAGAGGAATCCGCTGACTCTCTCTCCAGTTTACTTCAGAAGAGCTCCCACTCGAGCCTGGCGGTGGCGGCGGCGGTGGGAACGGGGGCGGCCGGCGGACCCGACAGCAAGTCGAACGTCCCCCAGTTCATTTCCTGCCGCGGCGGCGGCGGCGGTGGCGGAGGTGGAGTTTGACCGTCAATTACCGGCGCGGAGTTCTTGACCTTGAGGGCGTCGAGGGATTCCACATGCTTCTGGACTCTCCTCACCTGGAGACGCCTCTGCAGCTTCACCTCGCCGTCGGCGACGATGGCGTCGAGCTTCAGCAGCTGGTCCATCAGCTGCTCGATCAGGGCGTTGATATCCTCCTCCGCCACCTTCTTCCCCCGCGACACGATCGACTCCAACTGAGATACCTGCAGGAGCGCCAACACAATGTGTTCAAGAATCGTTCGCAGAGATTTGACTCAAATTCTACCCGTCAACTGCAGCGGCGGCGGCGATCAACCTTGGCAGCGAGCTTGTCAACGCCGAGGCTGACGTGGGAGACGGCCCTGGCGGCCTTCTCCATGGACGCCGTCCTCCGCATCTCCAGGACTCGCCGGGCCTGGGCGGCGGGATCCTCCGTGAGGACGACTTTTGACCGGTCCTTGACGCCAGCGATGTCTAGGAAGGCGGCGGAGTCCCTCTCCTTGCCCTTGAACACCAGCTTCTGGTCCTGCGGGTGCAGCCCCGTCCGCTCCGACAGCAGTTTCTTCAGCTCCCCTGCGATTGACCGCAACAAGTCTAAGGACATCTCCGCGAGATCGGGAGTGAAGTAAGTCAAAGGGAAACGGAAAGGAAATGTGGGGGGTTACCGAAGGTGGACTGGCGGCTAAGGTAGATCTCATGGCTGGCGGCGCCGTGCTTGACGCGGACGCGGATGGAGAGAGGCGGCGCCACCGCTGCCGCCGCTGCAGCGGTGTCGGTGTCGGGGTTTCGCTTCTGGACGAGCATTCCGCAGGGCCTCACCTCCCACTCTGGGTCCTTCGCCGGCGGCGAACCAACGGCCACCGTCGCCGCCACCGACCATGCCGTCTTCAGCGGAGCAAAGGCTGGCGGCGCCTTCTTCGTCGTCTTCATCATCCGCTCACTTCCGCTATTGTTCCGAGGAGGACGGGAGATTGAGATTCCGAGAAGCCGGTGGTAGATCCGCCGCCAATCCCCCGCCGCGGCGGAGGAGGAGAAGCGAAGCGGATGGTGGTGGCGACGGAGGCTGCCACCTGCGGGGATGCTGTGATGCGGGGCGGCAGGGAATGGCGAGGGAATATAAAACGGCGGAGAGGAGGAAGAACACGCCCGCGAGCAGGAAAGGGAAAGAAGGGGGAAGCCAACAAACCAGCGATGACGAAGACGACGACTATTTTTATTTTTTGTTTCCCTGAAAGAGAAAACCCCCACCCCCCCTCCTTACCCTTCTCCCTTCATTACCCTGGACGTAGAAAACTCTCTCTCTCTCTCTCTCTCTCTCTCTCTCTCTCTCTCTCTCTCTCTCTCTCTCTCTTCGCGGAAAACGTGGCGTCAGAAGACGGCGGTAGGGGAAGTCTCCGCTTTGACATTAACTAAGCTGACACGTGAGCCATCGGCCTCCGGCCGACCACCGACGCTCGCCACCTTCTACCCTATCATTACACCCCCCTCTTTCGCAGTATTTACGAAAACACCATCCCACTATGGTACTAGGTACCTCCGTAAATCTTGATAAATCTGAGTCTTTTTGTTTCAAACAAAGAAAAAAAATCAGCCACGTCAACTCAAGTGGGCCCAATCCGAGGCCGACACCTCTCTCGAAAAATCCCCCGTGGAGATGCTCACGTGATAGGGGAAGGGATTTCTGTCCTGTCCGGGAGGAAACAGGTTCCCCCCGCCGCCGCCTCGAGAATCCGAACCGAGCGAGTCCGAATAGCCACCGACGGGCAACCACACCCCACCCCGATCGAGGTGGCGCCATCCCCACCGTCGATTCCCTGCCACGCGGTCTGACCGATAGACCCCACCACCAATACACTTAATATTTAAATTTTAAAAAATAATATACGTAAATAATTTATATGTAGATACTAAATTTAGGTGCGAACAGACGGTCTAGCCCATAACGGGCAAGACGTCGCCGTCCCGTGACGGTGGGTACGGACGGTGGCCGCTCCCTTTCCGACCGGCAACCAACTAAGTGGGGCCCACCGTTTTCCGTCGGTCGCAAAGCCGCCCGTTTCTTTTCTCTTAGCGGGCGGGCCGGGCCGGGGCATCCAACCGCCGTTCTCCCCATCCCTCTCGATAGATAGAAGGCCGTTGGTACGTCACACGCCGCTCAAGATTATATCTCGTTAATGCGGTTTATGAACCCCAAAATTCAGCATATTTGCGAAAATACATTTGAATATTAAAAAATATGGCCTGAGGGACCATTGATAAAATAATATCATGAAACATCCTCCTCCTCGCGCAAAAGTCGCCGAGATGGGGGACATTTATGTAAATAATAAAATTAGCTTCTATGACATTATTTTGGCGGACGTGCACCGTATTCACACGTGCTTTTGCGATCCCCGAGCCGTTTAATGACGTGGACGGCGTCGCGGCGGACGCTCACAGAAGTTGTTCGTTGGGCTGTTGATTCCTCTTTCTGTGACGGCTCGACAGCCGGTGACCACCTTCGTGGGCTCAAGTGGTATAAATTTTCTGAGTTGAGGTCAAAAGGCTACCCACCGCGAGTTGGTGCTTCGTCGACTTCGCACCCGCGGAGATCCGATCCACGCGGACAAGCCTCGGCCATCCACGTGTCGCACCAGAGTTACTGTGGAGCCCCTGTGGGACCTGGGCTCCCAGTCCATAGTGGGCTGGGCAAACTTGGGGGGAAGCTGTCCGATTGCAAGCTCACAAGTCTCATTTCATTATGGGCTGTCATGGGCTTGCTTTCTCGACCCAACGATTTCTGGGCCTGGTTGCCCACTACGCGGACGGCTCGTCTCTTGCTCCCGCTCCCCTCGTTTTAAACCAGATCACATATTTCAGATATTTTGAATAGATATTCGAGCTTTTTTTGTTAATTTAAATACGGAGTAAATGCATGGGCGATATTTTCTTAATACCCAATCGGGTATTTTAAAAATATTTATGCTGTAATTATTTACGACAAAATAAAATAAAATTGGCTATTATTTTCGGTACCCACCAGTCGAAATCGGCCTGGAGTTGGCATCAATAATAGTTCGTGAAAACAGCGTCATTGGTAGATGCGTATTATTTTGTCTCTTCCAATCGACGCGAGTTGCAGCAGCTAAAGAACAAGTTACTTTTTCTGGACGTATTCACCGCTTGAAGCAGTCTCCTCCCCTGGATAAATATCTAGAAGAAGGCGGTTCTCTCTCTCTCTCTCTCTGTATCGACGGGAGGGGGAGGAAGAGGGGGGATGAATGAATGTGTACAGGGCGAGGGAAAGCGACTGCAATCGGGCACGTTTGTACATTCTGCAGTCGCAAGACATGACGTCACGCTCTCCTCACGCGTTTACACGGCCCAGCTGTGAAGGTCAGAGCTGGTGTTGACCGGGGTTTCCATCAGCCTGATGGCGCCGCCGAAATGGCTGCACTCAGAATGGGTCTCCGTCTTGGCCCTTCGCAGCCGTCAGGGCTCTCGACCCACGATCCCTCCGCCGCTGAGCGGCTCCTTCCAGACTGCGACAGCTCTAGTGAACTCTCTCTCTCTCCCCCTTTGAATAGTCGCCCAAAAGGGAGCTTCCTACCGTTTTCCGAAAAGTCAGCATATATATTGCGTCATGCTGACGCGAGAGGAAAAAGGTTCCCTTGGAGCGATCCGCCCACGATCCTATCGATTGCTATAAATATTAATGTCAATAATGGGAGATCGAAAATATAAAATGAAAGGAACCACGAGGATGATGGCTGAATAAACTAATTTCCTGAAATTATGATATTTCAAATAAAGCTATGCATATTATTTTTTGTCGAGTAATTTATGAAAAAATACATATATTTATTTGACTTCGCGCATTGGTTCCCCGTTGACTCGGCCGTAGAACACAAAATCAGCTGCTATCGATTACCCTGCTTATTTTACTATGCTCCGTAAGTTTGCGAATTTCAGCTCGCAATATCAGTAAGAAAAATGAGGGGTTGACCTCATGAAAATCTGTTTTTGCGGCTTTCATATCTTTTAAAAACAATCGTACCGTTGGAGTTGACCTTGGTTTTATTCGTGGATGATAAATTCCAGCTGTGTAAGTAGTTGGGGCACATCACTTCAGAAAAAAGTATTTGACTTCTCACAATGGGTTGCCCGTTGACTCGTTCATGGTGCACATAATCAGCTGATATCGATCCCCCACTCACCGGCCGTATTCATGACGCCGCGGCCGTCAGTCAACTGCTGTTCGTGGAAGAGGAAAGAATGTTAAAATAAGATCATAAATTGGAGTCATTGTTTCCCTCGAGGCTCATTTTCATGTTTTCATTGTTTCCCTGGAGTCATCGTACCCACCTGATACCTGCCGCTCTCTCTCTAGAGCTAGCTCTCTCTTGACGCAGGGCAGGCGCCGGGCCGTCTGTCCTGTCTCGTGCAGCTGACTTTATTCGGTGGGGGGCAGGATGACAGCAGAGTCGCGTTCCCTGTTGGTGGGGAGCTCGGTGGGGGTAACGGGAAGGTCAACGTGTCCTTTGGTAGCGGTCAGAGCTTTCCCCCTTCCTTTCCGCCGGGGTTCCATTATGCCCTTAGTCAACGACTGACTCTCTCTTTCTCATTATGTATACATTCCTCTATCATCGTGTGGTTTCAATTACTGATAGGGCTACGGGTTGGCACTGAGATAGTCAGCCCTGAGAAGGAAGTCCGGCTCTTCGGGCAGTTGACCAACGAGGAAAAAGGCTCCCGGGGTCGTTTCTCAAATATTAGTCAACACCCATGGTTGGATTTCATCAAATATAGTAAAAAATAAAAAATAAACTGGGTACCTGGGAAATTCGTAACTATTTTGAAGAGTACAGATTGAAGGATAATTACAATTTTTTTAAAACAAAAATAATAGGCAACGTAAAAATATAAAATAAATTGAACAACGCTCCTGCTCATCAATTTGGAAATATATTTTTATTATTTGCTTGATCCTTTTCTCCTTTCAGAAAGCGAGAAGAACATGTCAAAGCATACACAATAGGGCAGTGAGAGAGAGAGAGAGAGGACAATTTAGTTTTTTACATCATATTATACGATTAATTAGATTTATGGACTAAAAATAATAGTGTCATACCTTTTGGGGACCCACCAAATAATACAATTCAGGGATTAATCAACTCATAAATATCCCTATGTCATTATTTATCATTCATTAGTGACTACAATTATTACGATTTAAGTGTCTTCTAGGTTAATTGACTATGATTGTGACAAAATAAAATATGTCCGTCAAATACCCAGTTAATAGATTTGACTATGCACGGATGATTCATGAATGTGATAAAAAAAATGAATAGATGGTAAAAAAATTGAATATATTAGCAAATTTACTAGGTAATAGTCACTTTCTTCGTCCAGGTAAATCCAATTCAGACAAATAAATATCAATACTATTTGACTTTTCATATGTAATTTTGTCGCAGTCGATGAGAATTAACTTCGTTGGTTGGCGTTCAGAAGTGTCCAAATTCTGGGCGACGCCGGTGTTAGTGAGGAGAGATGGTTAGAAGGGAAGAGTAGATGTCAGCCTCTCTCTTTCGATGAAAGTTGACCGAAAGTGAGCTCCTGAGTCAACGTTTGCGGCGGGAAGTGCAGCTGTTCGTTCGCATTTGCCAGCTAGCGAGGGAAATAGACGGCGCCTCACACGTTTACGCGGGCTCAACGCGGGACGACAGGCAACTTTATCGCATACGCCATGCTGACGCCCTCGTTATGGACCACAAGACAGCGAGAGAGAGAGAGAGAGAGAGAGAGAGAGAGAGAGAGACGGGGGAGAGGAAGCTATTTCACACGTGAGATTTGACTTGAGAGGGCTAGGCCGGTCAAACGGCTGTTCACGAAATAACTAGATCACAGAAGAAACAGGGTACTAATGTGGAGGGGAGTTGACCCACTTAGAATCAGGTTTATGTTAAAAAAGGATACTAATTTTGGAAATCGAACGTGAGTTGACTTGCCAGAGAGCTGCCACGAAGAGTGAGCATGCGGAGATGAGTTTTCTTGCTGCACGGGCTCTCGTAGATAGAGGAGAGAGAAAGCACGTGTGAAGATAGGGCTGACTGGGTCTTGGAAGATGTTTCTTATGCAAGTTTGCACGGGTGCGGTGAGGAAAACATCCCCCCCCCTCTCTCTCTCTCTCTCTCTCTCTCTCGCTCTTGACCGTTTCTTTCGAACGACAAGAACCAGGAAAGAGAGTTGAATAAATTGTGAGGAAGATCGCTCTCCTTGAAGGCACCGTCGTGCGCTGATAGGTGCTGACTCTTTGGCGGTATAGCAATGAGTGTTAAAATTAGACACGTGTGAAAGCGTTTAATCAAGGTCGGTGAACTGTCCTGCGGTCGAGAGTTGGGCCCGAACTATTAACTCGATACACGTCATGCTGACGCAGAGGAGAAAAAAGGTAATCCTTGGAGTCACGCCCTCTCTCTAGAATTCCTAAGAGGATTCTCCTGGACAGCCATATCAGCACATGGTATGTCTGATTCAGTCTTTGAGATCAGTGGAAATCCCCAAACCGAAGGGGAAGGGGAGAGAGAGAAGGATAAATATGAAACTTACTGGGGCCATAGAGGGAGAGCGGATAAAGATGAACTTCATCAAGGCACATAGAGAGAGAGAGAAGTAGATATGAACTTGACTGGGTCATAGAGGGAGAGCGGATAAAGATGAACTTCATCAATGCAGAGAGAGAGAGAGAGAGAGAGAGAGAGAGAGAGAGAGATAAAGGTGAACTTTGGCAGGACCTAGATACTGGATGAGGATGATTGATGGCTCTTGCTTTTGATTGGGTGGAAGAAATCCACACCCCTATCTGTATCTCTCTCTCTCGCTCTCTCTCGCTCTCTCTCACTAGGTGGAGTTATCTGGGTGGCAAGTGGAGGGAGAGAGATGTGACGCGGATATTTGCAAGTTGAGAGAGAGAGCCTTCCTGGTCCGTCTCTTAGTCACGCTCGGACTTGAATCTTATCGGGAAAGCTTTTTTTCCCCCTTACGTCAGGCTGACGTCTCCCCAAAAAGGTTCCGTGTGGCCGCTCTCGCCGTGAATGCCTCCGCTTTGCATAACCGGCGACTGCTCCGCCACCCGATGCATTTACTTTTCTCATAATTCATACCGAGAGAGACAGAGAGAGTTAGCACCGCCACGAGTATTCTATTGGCTGTCGCTCCCTCGCCACTAGACTATCCGGATAAGAACGAGCCAAGTGGCAGTAGTGGGGGGAGGGCGCCACTTGGAAGCAGCAACTGCAATACCTGCCAACCTGTCTAGTCTGCTTCTCTCCGTCGTCTGGAATCGGGATTTTTTATTCTTTGATTTACCCAGAAAAAATGAGATAATTACGATTTTACCAAATCGGGACCGCTTGGCCGAGGCCAGCTCGGAGCCTGCTCGACACGCATCGGACACGGCCGAGGGACTGACGGCCACCCGGGGACTCGGCTACCGCGTTTAGATGTCGGGGTGGGCCATCTTTCCTTCTTCTCGACAAAGTTGTCCTGTTCTTTGTTGCATCAGGCTGACGCCGGGGGAAGGCAAAAAGCTACCCTTTGGAAGGAGGAAAGGGCCGGGGTGCAGAAAGGAGCTCCCGGTGAGGTTACTCCGGCGAGATGCATCGTACTGCGAGATACGTAGGTGCTGACGTTCTACGGCTTCTAAAACACGTGTGGCCTTCCTTTCTCCTGACCGCACGTCTGCTGACGTCGGAGAAAAATAGGCTTCCGAATTCTTCGGTATGGGAAATCAGGATATAAATAAGATTTTTTGGAAAAACATGTTCTGCTGATAGACACGTGCGATTTGTTTTTTTTTGGGAGCCGGGAGACACGAGTCAATTTCCCGTTCGATAGACGGCGCGATAGATGTACGGTAGCCACGCGCCTCTTATTGGTTCAACGCGCAGCCGTTGCCGGCTGTACTAAGCAGCGCATCCAATCAGCAGCTCCTGCCACGTTAGGAGATGAAGCGTTGGTCCGCGATCGGAACGGTCAAAAGGCCTCTAGACATGCTGTCTCCAGTGTCGCTGGTATTTTAACGGATTAAAATAAGAGAAGGGCCCTTTCGTAAGCCAGCTGGTGTGCTCACTCGAAGAGAGTGGGGGCCACCGGTGTTTTTCCGCGTCGACGGCGACGGAAAATACTCCCAAAACGACCCACCCCCTATATAATCCGCGGCCCTCGTCTCCCTTCCTCACTACAACGACACTTCCGCCCCAGATAGCAAACGATCGGCCACTCTCCCAAAATTCAGTCGCCGCCTTCGTCAGAGAGGAAGGAAGGAAAGCCACGGAGGGCTTGATGAGCATGTCGGGCTATTCCCAGGAGCTCGATTCCCCATCCGGGGGGACCGCCCAGTCGCCGGTGTCCGACGAGGAGGTCTACTATGCCACAGTGTCCTCGGCGCCGCCCAAGCGGCGCGCGGGGCGCACCAAGTTCCGCGAGACGCGGCACCCGGTGTACAGGGGAGTGAGGCGCCGCAGCGCCGGGAAATGGGTGTGCGAGGTGCGGGAGCCCAACAAGAAGTCGCGCATATGGCTGGGCACCTTCCCCACCGCCGAGATGGCGGCGCGGGCGCACGACGTGGCCGCCATGGCCCTGCGCGGGCGCGCGGCGTGCCTCAACTTCGCCGACTCCGCGTGGCGGCTCCCCGTTCTCCCCCGCTCCGCCACCGCCCGGGAGATCCAGCAGGCCGCGGCCAAGGCCGTCCAGACGTTCATCCTGGAGAGCGCTGGTGCCGACGAGGGCGGCGCGGTCGGCACACCGTCGTCGGACATGGCCGAAACGCCGCCGCCAGCGGAGGCGCCGGCGTTGGAGGAGATCGAGGGGGGCTACCTGGACTTGGACTTCGGGCTGGAGGACTACCTGGCGAACATGAGGATGCTCTCCCCACTGCACCCCATTCAAATGCACAACCACTGGGGAGGGGGCTTCTGGGACGACGTGGAGGCCGACTCCGACGTGTCGCTCTGGAGCTACTCCATCTGAAATATCGTGGAATCCCAATCTCGTGTACAGCACCACGACGTCTCGCGGCGGCCGACACGGCAGGGCTCGAGCGGCCTGTGTTGTTCGGATGGGTGTCGTCCCCTTTTTTCCCGTGGGGGAGAGGAACGGGGTGGGGGGGGGGGGGGGCGGTTGTTTCCTGTTACTCCCTCTGAAACAATCGAAACAGAGGAGGATTAGTAGAGAATTTCCTAGAATTAGTAAAACCGGCTTCTCTTCTCCCATGGACATGCAATTTTTTGACCCAATTTTTTTTTTGGAATAATTAGTCGTCATCACCGGCTCTGGAGTCCGTCTCCTCTGTCCTGGTCAGGTGCAAACTTTAAAATGGCTGCCCTGTCATTCCATCGGCTCTCCGTACCAGCCAACTGGTCTCATGAGGTCTCTGGGGCAGTGGCGTCCGCCTCTGCCCCAGCTTACCTTGGACCGGATGCTTCCCACCAGCTGGTGGGTCAAAGTCAAATAGCGGGCAATGAAAGAAAACTGGATCAGTTAATGCATCTAAAGAGGGCCTAGACTGACGGGATGATGCTTCACTCGCAAAGATGGTGATAGAGACGGAGGTGATGACAACGATGATGAACAGCATAAAAAATCACGGGTAGATGAGTAAAATAATTAACATATGCATAAAGTCCCCCTTGGTCATTTATTTATTTCGCTATTATTACGGTTTAACCAAGATCCGAAGTCCCTCTGTTGGTACCAATTCGGGAAGATAACACCGGGAACCTGAGATGGAATTCGTAGAAGAAGACTAATCGACTCATTTCATGATGCAAAATTATGATGGAAATAGACAAGTGGACGGTACGAAAAGAAATTTAAAGAAAACAAGTGTAAATGAAGGAGACTCAAATCTATTTGATTGAATAACCACAAAGGAAACATGGATTCAAAGAATTTTGATATGATATTAATGCACAGAGAGGACACATGATCCCAAATCCAGTCCTCTAAGGAGAAGATATTTGGATAAAAAATAGATTGAATGCATAATTTCTTATTTTCTTAGATATTCTGATAGAGAAAGGTGGGTGTATTGATGCCCGGACTCATATGGATACTCACTCGTACATGATTCATGAGGACGCCACATGTAATCAGGATATTTATCCTCTAATGATCAAATAAAACAAAGAAAAAAACCATCTGATATTTTTTTTTTGATTGGGTAGTATATCATTCCCCCAATTGAATATGGTATCCTGCTTCTCCCCAGTATTTGAACTACTCCGTGACAGATGTAAGAAAGTTTCCTTTTAAGCAGTTCCCCTCTAGACTATTGTGGCGATCCGAAGATCAGTTGCTTCAACAGAGTTGTTTTGGATTTTGACACTAGTTATGAACAACAGGTAGAACCAGTAATTAAAATATTGAAATTATACCTTCTAAAAATTTCCTAAGATTTCCCCGATCAAAGGCCAGAAGACTCCAAGACTTGGGATGTGAGTACTAAATGATATATACATATATATGTGCATATATATGTATATATGTATATGTCAGGCTGCAGGACAAACATCGAAACTCGTATTATCTGCTAACCTGATATGGTTTTCAGAAGAATCAGAATCAGAAGAATTCACGTTTTCAGGCAAACAATGCCGTGCACGAGTCTCTGGACAAAGCCACAGAAAACTAACATTTGATGTTATCATTCAGGCAAATAAAGATTTATCCAGATCAATGAACTGTAGGTACTCGAGTACATTGAATTTAGGAATTAAGCCAAAATAAATAAAGTAAAAAAAATGCAAGAAAGTTCACAGTCAAACATGTACACTCGTATAACTGTACAAAGTCAAGGCCTGAAGTCGGAGAATGATGAACTGACGGTAGTGACAGCGAATACGATTAATCTAAGTTTCATAGGCAGAGAAAGCAGAGGATGGTCAATCAAAGCACCCTACAAAAAAAAGAAAAACTCATTTTGGACGTGATATGCCATTGCTCGATTAGGTAATTTTTTTAAAAGATAATAATTCATGGGCGATGGATAGAAAAATAAATCACGAATAATTTGGGGAATCATAGTTCCACAAATCCAAGTTTTGATCAGTGCATCCTCCCCCCTCCACCAACAGAATTCATGCGATGTGGGATCTGGTTTCCGATCTACCAGGTGATGTAGCATCCCTCTCCCAGTCAAAATTTCTCTGATATATTCTGACCACTGTACTCGATCAATTTGAATTCCGTAGGTATTGCAGGGAGTTCTGGCAATACTTGCATGGCATCGGGATCGGGATTAAAATCCATCAAGGAAGAAGCAAGATCTCCCATCAAGGAAGAAGAAGGATCTACCAGTTTTGACAGAGGATCACAAGAAAATGTTAAAAATAACACTAGAAGGGTAATAGAAGAAATGTTAAAAATAACTGATGGGGATGTTAGATGAAATCAAGTATGAGGAAACATGGAAAAATCATACAATCTACATTGGATATAACATATGTGAGTCTCAAATATGTGAAACAATGGTCTTGTATGCTAAGAAATGTACCAAATAAGCCTTATACATGTCGACTGCATACCATGGTTTCGTGGGTGAGGCTTCACAAGAAAGCATTTGAGGCTGCATACATCGATTCGATCTTCGGTTAATCATTCGTTAAAGAAAGACATCAGTTTGGACATGAACGCTCACAGTTCTACATGCCAGACAGTGATTTCGTATGCTAGTGCCTACCTAAGAAATGGAGGGTTTTATCCAATACAAGTCCTGGACGCTTGACTGAACAAAAAATGCATACGGATGTAGACTTCAGTTATGAACAGGTACTTAAATTATGAGCTTAGTATGAAGACTCAATTTTATCGAGTGAAATTTTTTAGGTTATTCATCCCTTGGCTACTATTTCAATAGGTGTTTAATGAATATCGCCATGCACAGTGCTCTATGCTGAACATACGGACACTTCAGGAGAAACTGCTCCAATTATCTAGAACACAGCTGGTACATGGAGACATTACGTCGAATAGAAAAAGCAGAGTCTAAGATAACTAAACGATTCCCCTAAGAAAGACATCAGCTGGGCTAGGGAATTTCATATTTGAGGACCTTGTTGAAAGGCTAGCGACAACTGCATCGCTTTCATGCAGCTGCATCAATTCTCCAAACGGTCCTGAGTCATCAAACTTGTAAAAAGGCACAAAAATTCTTTTTTGGGAAATTCTAAACAGAAATCAAATTCATTCTACCAGAACGATAGGTATTAATATAGTCCAACGGCAGGTAGGTACGGCGTTTGGACGTTTATATGAAGATATCAGCGCTATCGATGAATCATTTAGGGCTTTATCTGTTTTCCTGAATTTTATGTACATAAATATAATGAGACAGTAATAATCATCTCATTCATCAGCTAACCTAGGAACCATGAATATTCATCTTGGCCCATATATTTATTATTTGAACAGATAATTATAATAAATTGCAGGGGCACGTGGCACCTGTCTACAAGTACGAATTAAGAGATGAGGTCAATTAAACAGCAAAAAGAGGATCATCTACTTGCATCAGTGGGCCTCAAGCTGTTTCTTTGAAGGAAAAGTCACTGCCTATTCTGGTCATCTACCAATACACCAATTTTTCGAGAATATTTCGCTGTGCTAGCTTCTTGGACACAATGGACAACAGTGATGAACTTACAAAGACCAAAGATGCGATAGACAATCAGATAAAGGAGAATGACTCAACCAAGGCAGCCGTATCCTGCATACAATTGCAAAGTAAATAAACGGACGAAAATTTAGGGGAATGTATACACAGTTTTTAATAAATTTGACTCCGAGAAAATGATATATGAGCCAGACCACAAGTCAGCATCATCATCATTATCGGCGACAATCTTCTCGGGATGCGAGAGCTCACTTTAAACATTTGGCGGCTTCATGGCGTTTGTGAGCTCGTATTAACCAGAGGGTAGACGTTTTCCAGTAAAAAATAAAACCACGATGCCAACACCTTATTTTTCCCCGTGTGATAAATTAAGCAAATAGTCACCGAGCAAAAACTCACCGTTATTTAGATTTATGGCCAGTTCCCGCGAGAAAACAGTAGTCAAAGTTAGTAGATGCCTACGACCATTAAGATGATTTAGGGAGCTTGTGCTAAAACGCACTAAATTGAGTGACAAATTTTGCTTAAGGAAGACACTTGTGACTTCAAATAAGGTAGTTATAAGCGATGACTATATGAGGTAGTGTTCAAGGTTTCTCAAATACACGTTGTAACAATGTAATTCGAATCCTCTTCCCAGCATAAAGTCATGTGAAACCTTGTTTGGTACGTTTTAACCTTTCTTCTGCTCTTTACTACTGCCAACCCTTCAGTGAGGAGAAATTAAACTTTCTAGATCGATTATCATCCTACATAAAGATAAAATCTGAGAAAATGGATGAAAGATTCATCAGCCTCCATCGCTTCACACTCGAATATGCATGATAATTAAAATTCTATATGAGATACTATTGACCAACTGAGGATGAAACGAATCACAAACATAAAAAAAAAAAGTCGGGGTCAGCATTAGATGAGTCAAGTTTCGATGAGGCAATAGAATTAAGAACAAACAAGAAAACTTAACGTCTTACGGAGCATCAAACTACGTAGGCAAGAATGGCGGCCATAAAAAAACAGTAAGACGACGAAAGAACTACTCACCTACCTCTCACGTAGGACATTAACATTCAACCGCTGACGCCTCCGCACTGCAGGCTCCATAACCAGAACCGTTGCAGAGTTCGCAAGAACTCGTTTCACTGCATTATCTCGCCAAAGAGGTCCCCCTGGCGCCGATACTTTCTGCCAGCGTTCCGGACTACACCAGAGGAGAGGCCCAACGCCTCCCCCAGCGGCATTCAGCAATACGCCAGAGGTTGACGATGACATCAACTCAATAGCGGCCCTCAGCCATAGCTGTGTGCTCCTCGAGGGACCGTCTCGAAGGCGCATCCGCTAGTCGTTCGCAAATTTGTGTTCCACGCGCCAAGATTTCTCGCCTTATGCTAATATATTTTCTTTTTGAATATTAATTTTCCCGCTACAGAAAATCTTCTACAGACTTCTTAACGGGCAAAGCAATATTGGACTTCCCCAAGGCCCAGCCCACTTGTATATTTTGTCCCTGTTTTTTTTAATAAGAAAACCAGTTTTATGACGTGTCAGCCAGCAGGCAGCTTCCCGAACCCTCGGCCTGCTGTCGCGTCCTCTCACGCGTGCCAACGGTGCAAACGTGACAGTCATCACTACATCACTCGACCACGTCACGCATCGTACGTGGGGTTCGTTACTGGCCGGTGGACCCCACGGGCACTGACACGGCACGCTGCTACGTTTCTGATTTCCCGCTGCTCCCTGATCTGCTTCTTTTGGAGGGTCTCGCAATCTACCAACCAAAGGATGCCACGTGTTTTTCTTGCTGTGCTCCACTCGGGGTTGCCGTTGCCGTCCGATCGAGGTCCGTCCATCTTGCGGCCCATGTTTTTGTATGATATTAAAAAAAGGCTACGAAAATTGAGTGAACGCGAGTTTTCTCCCCGATAACGCCGCTAATTGATGCCGGCTATATGATGAAATCGCTTCGGCCAAATCGTTTGGTGCCGAATCTCTGGAATCCCAGAGAGCTGACTCGACAAACTACAGCCAAGCAGCCCTAATTTTTGCGGGTCCCACCGACGACACCATGGCCGCTCCCCACGTTCGCGCCTTTATTAATCTCACACCGTCCGACTCTAGAGAGAGAAAGAGAGAGCTTTGCTCGGCAGTGTTCCACTTGTTTACAGTGGAGAGAGAGGGAGACAGAGAGAGGGGGAGAGAGAGAGAGAGAGAGAAAAGTGGCAACGAATTCCATAACTCTCTCCCGCGCCAACACTAGCCTCTCCTCGAAGGCGAGGAGAAATCTGGAGCCTCCTTCTAGCTGAGAAACCCTAGCTGCACTTGTCAGGCAAGTCCCACATTCTCTCCGCATATGTCCGTAGAATCTGCGCATCTGTACCCTTTGGGAGGATTTTCGGTAGAGGGACTGTTAGCCCTGTGTTGTCACCTCGATGCGTCCCCTCTGATGTGATCTCCCTAAGGGATCTAGATGCTAAGATTCTGCGCGATTTTCCGTTGCCGTTTCGATAATTTCTCTGTTCTTTGTGATTGGAATGCTGGTCGACGAGGGTGAGTCCCGCATTAGGAACCGCCATGTCGATTTCAGAGGTTCAAGTTGCTTGTCTTCTTTAGGTCGATGCTTCCTGCTCTACATTGAGCTTCGTTGAATTGACTGCTTACCTTTTTATAGTTATCTAATTTGATGGTGAGATTAAGCGGTGTATCGTCCTCTTCTGTCATTCAACTTCTCGTACATTTGCTTTTCTTTTGCTACATTCTTAAGATTACAGCTCGATTTGTGAGGTTTGACATACTTGGTTTCATTGACTCTTCCTCGGATATTTGTGCACAGCACCGATCGAGGTGGGCAGGCCTGGATTGAATGGAGCAGGTAATTTTGGGAAATCTCGTCCAGTGACGTGGCTGCTGACATTCGTTTGACTTTGTTTTTATCGTGACTGCATTTGGTTGACAGTATGAGAAGGTAGAGAAGATTGGGGAGGGGACTTACGGAGTGGTGTACAAGGCTCGCGACCGCCTGACCAATGAGACCATAGCTCTTAAAAAGATCAGGCTTGAGCAGGAGGATGAGGGTGTCCCAAGCACCGCCATCCGAGAGATCTCCCTTCTGAAGGAGATGCAGCACTGTAACATAGTCAGGTTGTGAACTAAGTTAATTCTTGCTTCTCTTCGTTTTTCTCAAGCTGTTGGAGTGTTTTCTGGATTATATATTTCTTTGTTTGAGTTTTAAATCCCAAACAATCCTTGATACTTTGAAAAAATAGTTCTGTCAAAGGAGCCGTTGATTATTCTATTGATTGTGAACTGCTAGTATAGTTTCTTCTGGTGTAGATATTATTTCTTGATGGATATCAATAACTAGATTGTTCTTTGTCACGAATTCAAGGACCAAGTGTACCGAGCAAGTGAATATAGTTGAGCTCCTGATTATGTAGAGAAAGAGTACCGGAAACAACAATTAGAAATTACAATTAGCCTAAAAAGTGTTCAATTTCTCAGTTCGTTGGTTTGGAATTTATGATGCTTTACTGCAGCGTGAGGAGCATGCAGTTTTTATTTCTTGTGATCTTATTCCTGGAAAGTACGTTGATTCTCCTTAGCATTGATCCGAAACTGATTTTCTTGTTAGAAAGATAATGCAATATAGCCTTGTCTGTTGCTTGTTTTCATCTTTGACGGGCGAGGATTTCAAATTCAGCCCTTGCAGCATCAGATTCGATTTTTTTTTTCCTAAGATGCTTAAGAGTTGATTCATGGTTCACAATTCCCAATTTTAGCCGACTGACTTTACTAGCATTTGTAACACCATGTTCTGGGTTCACATTAGTTTCACTTAACTTTAGTAGCTGCAGCGATCATTGCACTGCTTAATTGTCCTTTTCAGGCATTCACGAATCGCGGGAATTTTCTTTTCCTTCAATGTTCCTGAACATAATTGAAATTGGAAAAATAAGTTAATGTGCCAGTATTTCATGAAAAATTTCAGCTAGAATTTGTTGAATGATGTTCACTCGCATCTTGAGAACGGTATCCTTAAACATGTTTTGGCATAGATCCTGGGCTATGCATCAGAGATGACGCCGAAGCATGAATTTCAAAGGCTTCATTACATAATCTTAATTTATGAATTCAAAGAAAATGGGGTCAGGTTCAACCTGCTAGTTTCGCTGAGAAGTATACACATTTACGAAATTTAATATTGCTTCTATACGAATGGTTTACTACTTCACAGTGTTGAGAAAAGGGAGATATATGTGTTACTTGTTTGCTGGGAACATGTAATGATTTTCCTTCGTATATTTTTAATCCAACTAGTTCAACTGACTCTTATAGCTTAATAATTCTATACATATTTTGATGTAAGATTTCTATGTAGTGTGGAAGGGACTTCAAAGTCATTGGCTGAATGCTTGTTAAAATTAGTAGTACTGTTGGGTGTAAATAAATCAATGATTATTGATGTATACAGTCATTACCTTTAGGTGTGAGCGATTTTTTGGCTTCTGTCCATACTAACTTTTGACCAAATGAAATCTAAATTTAAAGAGGAAACAAGTTTTTTATTACACCTGCAAATTTGATATCACTAAAGCTCAAGTGGTTTCTTTTTTGGTTCTTTATTAAAAATGGCTTTGAGCTGTTTGGTGAGAAAATAACGTGGTAAATAGAGTTTCCATCTCTGCAAACTATACAAGAAAATAAATAAAAGAAAAGGTACAGTCACCAAATGGATCTCAAGCATAAAAGCTTCCTCAGTATATGTAAAATTCTCCGTCTAAATGATCAGAAAAAAATGAAAAATAAGCTTACAGTGGTCATGTTAGACTGCTATGCTTACATGGTATATGTAATGAGGTAACTTAGTGAACAGATTCCTCCCAGATGCAGATGATTTGACCGCCTACTGTGGTCTGATTCTATTTGAAGACCAATCAGTAAGAACATTAGCTGTTTACATGTATCCTAGATCACTGCCTGTTGTTGTTATTTGGCTTTATAAGATGCTATATGCTTATATTGTGTTAGTTGGTTAGAATTATGGATATTTGAATTACAAGCACATTGCACATCAAGAACACGAAATGCTTCACAATAAAAGCGTCTCAAAAGCTACCGTTCATCGATTTTATTGGGCAATTTTATTGCTATTGTCTTCATTCTGAATTCTTTCCGGTGAGCATTTTTTCTTTTGAAAATTTGCGTTTTTTTATGCAGGTTTTCTGTGTTCAATATGTGTTTGAACATGCTTTTCAATAGCACTCCTTCTTTTCCCTCTTGTTGTATGAAACTTGGATGGCTTTTTTTCTTGAGATTAATCTTCTTGTAGTATTGTGTGAAGCCTTATGTAACCATCACTTAGAGAAATAGTAACGTTGGCTTTACAGATTGCAGGACGTGGTCTACAGTGAGAAACGATTATACTTGGTTTTTGAGTATCTAGATTTGGACCTGAAGAAGCACATGGACTCTTGTCCTGACCTCGCCAAAGATCCTCGGTTGATAAAAGTAAGTATTTTTTTTCCTTCCTCACTGTTAACCATGCCCTATATATGTTAAATAGACATAGACACTGATGCATGTGTGAGATAGATTCTTGTCTATAGTTTCACTGGCGGTAGGGGACAGTGTCAACCCTTTTCAGGCGAATCGGTTTCATATTTATGCAGTGGTACAATGAAATGTATTTGTACAACTTTTTTCAAATGGAAGTATAAAATGTAACTTCACATAATTGAACGAGCGTAATATTTGGTCCACATGATACAGCATGCAGATTCCGAGCTTATCCACAAGACTGTTGGAAAGCATAGTGTGTACAATTAGCATGGCACTGTCCTTGTCTTGAACATAATTTATGAACTGAATGCTACACAAAGTTACCTAAAATTGCCCTTCATTAGGATGTAAGACTCATCACTCCAGGGATAATGATGGCTGCGTCTGAGGAATGATACTTTGTCCTTCATCTGAGTTTTAGATGTGCAAAACTTGAGACTCTCATGAAAGATTCCGTTCTGCGGTCTTTTGGATCCCAATGTTAATTAAATACACTTTCCATCAAGTATATAATCCTGCTGACAGTGGTCCAGCTAAAATCATATTTAGTTCATATCTGAAAGGACATTGCCACTGAATCAACAATAAACTGTCACAACGGCACTTTTTATGCAATTCTTTGGTTTTAGTGTATTCGGTGATGTCATTTTCTGAGAGTAAATCCTAAGAATATATATACAGGCTCAGATGCTTTCGAAGTATACAAATGACTCAGTAGCTTCCTACCATTGATTTATGTATTAAAGTTTTTTTAAGACTCTGAAATGGACAGTAATCAATTCTTTTATAGGTTAAGTACTCGATCGACTTAAAATAAGTCTATTATTTCAGGGATTAAATGCCAGCAATAAAAAAGGCGAACTTGTTAATAATACCTCACTTTACTGGGGCCGGAAACTAACCAACTCTTCTTGAAGTTACATAACATTTTCAACATCTTTAAACAGCAGCCTTTTAAAAAGTAAAAAGATATTGCTGGCGGTTTGGTTTCTCCATTGAGTTGTAAAACAGGACAGTTATTCCTGAAGGCAGGTTGCATTTTTTTTTATACTTGTGATTCAATGTGTATCAAACTTATGTTCACTGGTATTGGCAACTTAGAGAGCCCTGAGCTTGTGATTGCATCGTAGTACTCCTATCAGCATGCTTGTGAAGCTTGAGAATTTTCATAAAAAATTGCAATTATCCATTTTCAGTGTGTTCAAGCAAAGTATGTGGCGGTATAATTGTGATTTTGTTTATGGCTAGATGTATGGGATGACTCTTGCCTTCTCTTTTACAAAATGCCCTGCAATTTCCGCCATTTTGAAGGATTGTTCATTCACTTTGCAGACATTTCTCTATCAGATTCTTCGTGGTATTGCCTACTGCCACTCACATAGAGTTCTTCATCGGGATTTGAAACCACAAAACTTGCTAATAGATCGCCGCACTAATGCTCTTAAACTTGCTGACTTTGGGTTGGCGAGGGCATTTGGCATTCCTGTCCGCACATTCACTCACGAGGTAGAGTCCCTTTGCAATTTCCTTCCTCTGGTTTTACAGATTGGCTGCTGCATGAATCGGTGTAGTCTCGTACCAGGAGTGCTTTTACTAGACATTCAGCACTAGTTCTTGAATAAGAAACACATTTCTCGTGACGTTTGGAGTATATTTTTTGGACTATATCTTTGATAGCTATAGTGCGCTATCACATGTGAATAAATTGTGGTTTATCGGTTGATAGTTGACAATACTCTCATATTTTTGCTTGTATTCGGTTGATCTTTAATGATCGATTTATCTCCAATGAAGAAACAAAGAAATCATTTCACATGTTCCTCTGTTCCCTTCTTTTCTCTCACAGGGGATAGCCGGTCTATTTAGTTGCCTCCTTGGCCTCTTACTGTTGATGCATATCCCAGATGTCCTCCATTCAAACTTTTTCTAGAGGAAAATGTGCATAAACTTGATGAAGTTGGGTGTCAGTGTGATGTATCGGTCTTCCTTTCGTGGATTAACATATGAACGAGCTCATCCAGCGTAAATTCTTGTCAGAATAGGATGTGAGACAATATGAAACGGTGTTTTGAGAGAACCGAGATGGAGTTTTCGGGTATAGCTCTGTTGCAAAATCGTTCAAAATAAAGCGTCTGTAAATAATGTACGACATTTGACCGCCACCTGCCATTTTCTTTCCATTCATCTCCGGATTCTCCTCATTGCAGGTGGTAACCCTCTGGTACAGGGCGCCAGAAATCCTACTCGGGTCCCGCCACTACTCCACCCCTGTGGATGTCTGGTCTGTGGGCTGCATTTTTGCGGAGATGGTAAACCAGAGGCCATTGTTTCCTGGGGATTCTGAGATTGACGAGCTCTTTAAGATCTTCAGGTGTCAGGATAAGCCGATGCTCATATTTTAAAGCTACAAATTGGCATAACATTTCAATTAATTCTCGATTTTCCTTTTTTTTTTTTTTTTTTCTTTCATGAAGAATTCTGGGTACACCCAATGAAGAAATTTGGCCTGGGGTGACTTCTTTGCCTGACTTCAAGACTGCCTTCCCCAAGTGGCCTTCAAAGGTATGTGTCGGTCAACCACGCATTATAATGATTTATTCCTTGTCCATTTAAAACAGGGCCCAGGGGGTGAATAATCCTCATGGGTTTGTCTTACTTTAGCTTTGATTGCCACGTCTTCAGCCTTTTTTGCTTGTTTTCTCGTGACAAGATATTATATATTTTCTTTTGAAGGATCTCGCGAGTGTGGTCCCAAATCTTGAACCAGCCGGGGTTGACCTCCTCTCTGTAAGTGTGCTTACCCCGTTGAGTAATCTACAAACGATAGATTTACCAAGGATGGAGGATTTCCTTGGTAAAACTCTCTTTCCATTTGATGCTTCTTGATCTATTCTGGCCATCGCATGCATTTGAGTGCCTGAAAGAATTATCAGTTCTATGTCGAAATCTTTTTTCATATTAAATAGCAGGATTTGGATATTTTCTTAGAATAATGTGAATTATAGGAAAATTTGAAATAAGATGCCATGATTTTTTCTAAAAAACAACGGAACATTTTTGAAAAATTACGAAAAACCCCCATTTAATTTCCTCAGTGTCTGGAATCATGTGGCCAAAATTGAAATAAACCCAAGTTAGAAGAACTTCTGGTTTCCTCTTCATAATAACCTCTGCGCCAGCGGCTCATTATTCATTGCTCGTGGTTCCCAGAAAATGCTGTGCCTGGATCCAACCAGAAGAGTCACGGCTCGGGTCGCCCTCGAGCACGAATACTTCAAGGACCTCGGGGTGGTGCCTTGACGACCATCACCACCACCACCACCACCACCACCACCACCACCACCTCCCCTTTCTCCATCTCCACCACTGTACAGTGCCGCCTCGACCTCTCAATGTGCTGTGCTTCGTCTTCCCCTAGAATTGCTGTGAGGTTTGTGCCCTTTTGAACGGGTCTTTGAGTGGGGAGGGGATCCCCACCTTCCCCCTCAGATAGCATGAAGCCCCCTGCTCCTGCTCTTCACTAGAAGGAACGAATCTGGTATGGCAATTTCCCTTTATTCTTTCCTTTTTTTTCTGGTATGTAGATCTCCTCTACGTTACAATCAGCACTCCATTTTGATTCCAGTGGTTATTAAGCATGTGAGGCATCATTTTGGTGATACTCTGGATAATATGGACTACCCTGGTTAGAACTGGGCTCAGGTGGGGGCTTGTTTCCTGTTTCGTATAATTATTGATGCGCATTGATGCAAATTACTCTCTCTCTCTCTCTCTCTCTCTCTCTCTACCAATTAGCTGGTTGAGGCCACCTGCTTGGGGTTTTTCTAGCCACGGGGGGCGTGAAAACAAGCATAGATGTGGAAATTGAGCTGACCTAAGTCCCGAAGTCGTGCAATTCATTTAGTTACAGCATAGCATATTATTGGAAAATGAGTTATTGTCAACGGGAATATCCATCTATGATCAGATAGGTCTACTTCCCTTCAGACATTGTAACCAGCCGACGGTCACAAGGATCTTGCAAATGAATGGTAATTAGTGAGTCGGTGTTGTAGAGACACTCCGGACAGCCACCATCGCGCCTGCCTCTCAGCACAATGACGTGAGGGAAGCCTGTCCGTAAGACATTGATTTGCTGGTAAATACGCGACGGCGACCTTCTGTGAATCCCTCTCTCTCTCTCTCCTCCCATGGTCAGTATCCCCATTTCTCAGAGGCCCCTGCACGGGAGGCACCTCCGCCGCCTGCTGTCGTCTCCACCCGCCGTGGCCATCGCTGCAGCTCCGGCGGAGCCAGAGCGGCCAGAACCGACGACGTCCGCCGCAGAAGCGGTGGTCTCCGCCGTGTGGAGATGTCGGAATCTGCGCCACGTGAGGCAGCTCCACGCCCACGCGGCGCACTCCGGCGCCCTAGCCGTCCTACCTGCGGCGAACAAGATCCTCTACGCCTACGCCCGCCACGGGGCGACGGCCGACGCCTGCGCCCTCTTCCGTGCCATGCAGGAGCGAGACAACGTCTCGTGGAGCGTGCTGTTGGGTGCGCTCAGCAAGACTGGGGATCACCGTAGCTGCGTGACGGCGTTCAGGGACTTCCTCCGCTCGGGCTCGCCGGCCGACGGTTACACCCTGCCGGCGGCCCTGAAGAGCTGCAGATCCACGGGGGACGTCGTAAGCGGGACGGCGATCCACCAGGTGGCCTGCAAGGGCGGGGTGGACTCGAACGTCGTCGTCGCCGCATCCCTCGTTGATATGTACGCCAAGTGCAGCCTCCTCGGCGACGCACGGAAGGTGTTCGACGGAATGCCGCGGCGAGACCTCATCGCCTGGACCGTCATGATCGCCGGCTATGCCGAGGCGGGAAGCCCCGGCGAGTCCCTGGCCCTGTTCGACCGGATGGCGTACGAGGGCGTCCTCGCCGACAAGGTCACCATGGTGACCGTTACCTTCGCGTGCGCGAAGCTCGGGGCGATGAGCAAGGCGGAGGCGGTCCACGGCTACGTCTCGCGTAGGAGGTTCCCCCTGGACGTGGTCCTCGGCACGGCGATGGTCGACATGTACGCCAAGTGCGGCAGCGCCGAGGCGGCGCGGGCCGTCTTTGACCGCATGGAGGACAAGAACGTCCTCTCCTGGAGCGCCATGATATCCGCCTACGGTATGCACGGCGCCGGCGAGAGGTCCCTCGAGTTGTTCTCCGTCATGCTCCGGCACGGCCCCCCGCCGAACGCGGTCACCTTCGTCGCCCTTCTCTACGCGTGCAGCCACGCTGGGCTGGTCGACGAGGGCCGCCGGCTGTTCTACTCCATGGCGAGAGACCACGGCGTGGAGCCCGGCGTGAAGCACTATACCTGCATGGTGGACATCCTGGGCCGCGCCGGCCGGTTCCGCGAGGCCGTCCAGCTGGTGGAGGCCATGCCGGAGGAAAAGAAGGACGAGGGCCTGTGGGGGGCACTACTGGGGGCCTGCAGGATCCACCGCGACGTCCCCCTGGCGGAGACGGCGGCGAGGCGCCTCCTCGAGCTCCGCCCCCAGAACCCGGGCTACTACGTGCTACTGTCGAACATCTACGCCAACGCCGGCCGCTGGGAGGACGTCGCGCGGGTGAGGGGGCTCATGGGGTGCCAGCGGGTGAGGAAGAAGACCCCCGGGTGGGCGTGGGTGGAGGTGGACGGCGAGGTCCACCGGTTCGGCGTGGGAGACCAGGCCCACCCGCGGAAGGGGGAGGTGTACGGGTTGCTGGCCAGCCTAAGGAAGAGGATGGAGGCCGCCGGGTACGTGCCCGACACCGACTTCGTCCTGCACGACGTGGACGAGGAGACGAAGGGGGAGCTCCTTTACGCGCACAGCGAGAAGCTGGCGATCGCGTACGGGCTGCTGGCGGCGGCGGAGGGGACGACGATCAGGGTCGTCAAGAACCTCAGGGTCTGCGGGGACTGCCACGCCTTCTGCAAGTTGCTCTCGGCCGTGGCCGAGAGGGCGATCGTCGTCCGCGACGCCAACCGCTTCCACCACTTCGAGGAGGGCTCCTGCTCATGTGGGGACTACTGGTGATGGATGATGGATGGGAGGAGACTCGCAACAGAGTAAAACCGTCGGACTCGCACGCCCACCACATGAAGAACCAGAAGAAGAAGACGAGTAACTAAGAAGAGCTTCTGCAACAGGAGATCCACAATAACCAGGAGGGACTCGCCCAAAGAAGAGCGGCCAATTCTGGAGAGGACCACCCAACGCAGGAGAGTACGTCCGCAGGCCGTCCATGAAAAAAAGCGAACCCGGAAACATGAATCATTTTTCAAAAGAAGGGGGCGGGCATGAGCTAGCAGGGTTCCAGCCGGTGGCTACTTAGCCTTCTTCAAGAGGCTGGAGATGCGGAACTCCGCATCGTCCTTGGCGAAGCCCCACCAGAGATGGGTGAGGGGGACCGTCGTGGCGTGCCAGAGGGCGTGGGCGTCGACGTAGCCCTTGTAGGGGGGGAAGTCGTAGATCTCCAGCAGCATCGCAAGGCCGCCGCCAAGGACGACCGCCCACAGCTTGAACCGAGAGGGGTGGCGGGTTGCTCCGGCCCACACCGCCCACAGGAGGATCTGGGTCACGCCCATTCCCACGCACACTTTCATGTTTAGCCCTGCAAAGACCGCAGCGGAGTATGAACTAATAATCATAGAAAAAGAAAAGCTCAAGAACATATGAAGAACCGGGCTTTAGATTTTCCCTGTCGATGGTTGAGAAGCCAGGTAACATCTAAATGGAACCCAAAATAATGGAAGGTAGGGGGTTTTTCCTATCGAGCTATAAATAAACCAAGAGGAATATGGGCACAAGAAACGTCTTTTAAAAGAAGGATGAATTTCCAGCGAAGAAAAGATGACACAAGAAACGTCATGGGCAAATGGAGACGGGTGAAATGATGAATCACTAGGTGGAGAAGAATGCGGGGAAGAGGCAGTTTTAGAGAATACCGTAGTCGAAGTCATAGAAGTTCAGGTACAGAATGTGGGTCGTGACAAAAGCCAGCAGAGGTGCAGCGACCATGACCCTGGAGGCTTCATCTCTCACACTGAATGTCCGAAGGATACACAGCACCAGGGAGAACCCCAGCAGGGCTACTGCGGCAGAGTAATCTAGCTTCTCGGTCAGATCGATGTCTCTGCAGAGACCGGTTGAAAAAAAAAAAAGAAATACCACAATGAGAGATGAATTACAGCTTCTCTAAAAATCAAAGGATTCCAATTATAATTCATGCAAGGAAAATAAGTTGTTTTACCGACTATGGAAAATAGCACTCCAGAACCATGCATTCATGGCAAGAAGCCCATAGATATGCCATAAACCGCTATACTCATAGTAGGATCTCTTACTCTGACTCATAGGTAGCTTGTAGTTCACAAGGAGGAAAAAGGACAGCCAGCCATTGAACTGCATTATCAGATTGAGTGCAGAGAGTATTGCCGAAACAGGCTCCTGGACAATGGTGACAAGAAATTTCATTAAGAAAAAAAAAAAATAAGCAGGGTAGAAGCAGTGGCAAGACCGAAATATGGGCATCCTTCATTCCACGGATAGGTAGGCCACAGCAATGCCCATTTCAGGAAGAGTACGGTGTTTCCAGAAACCACTATAAGTCAAGTGATAGAGAAAACGATAGAGGGTGCACACAGGAATTTTTTTTAGGGGGGTTGGGGGGGTGGGGTGTATGCTCACAGGAGGGATGGTGGACAGATGAACAAATGGGAAATGTCTCAAACAGCGATTTCAGTCAGCAATGAGAGGCAAACCTGGAAGACAGATACACGTATAAAGGGCCATTTGCCATGATATTTCACGGGTTCCAGGCTGAGAACTTTCCTCTCGTCCTCTCTATGCATCATGCAGTGGTACCGGCAGTCGCTCTTGCAATTGTGTTGTTTCCAACGTATGTATAGTGGTTCTTGCATGTACCAGGACCCATCAGAAGGAAAACCATCCGAAGAAAAATAACAGTGTCGAAATGTGAGGTCACCAATTCGACCACTTTTTTCGCATTCTTCCACACAACTCCTGGCATCATGATCAGAAAGCACACACAAAGTCAGAATAGGCCACATACACCATTATCTTAGGTTATGCACATCTACAGAGGTTAAAGCAAAGAGGTCGCTGTCTTAATACATGGATGTTAAGATCCACCGACAAACAAATTTTGAGAAAGTTTGAATTCTCTGCTCTGACAGAGAACAAAATTAGAAAATAGCCACGCTAAGTGATCGTGCAATCTAGAAGTGTACGCCTTTAACCATCGTTTTACTGCTAAAAATGTAAGAAAGATCAATATCAACATGGATAAACATCAACATCCTTTAAACTGAAGAATGGTTGCGAAGTGGACAGTCAATGAGATGAAGAAAGCTTTAGGTAGACTTTCTTTTACCCAAGAAAAGAAAAAAAACTTTTCTTTTACTCTGTACAAGCTGAGGAAAGTGCTAGAGTTCCAAAAGAAAAAAGAATTTAATGGGAATGGAAAGAGTTAGGTATGAAGACGGAAAAATACTTGAAGAAGCAGGCCCCGGAAAAATACTTCGGATCTAAGCAGAGTAATTCCTATGTGTGTGTGTGTGTGTGTGTGTGTGGCACAGAGAGAGAGAGAGAGAGAGCAACGTGTAGTGCGCTTGGAAAAGAGCCATTGGGCATTGGACGGCAGAAATGAAGTTAAAGTTGATGGTGCGACTTATGAGAAGTATGGGACATACAAGTTGATGATGTTGGAGTTGAATGCTAAATTACAAACAGAATATAGAAGGAAATCAGCACATGAAGAAAAAGGGAAAAAATGTGATTGAAGCCTATTCTGGAATTGTCCAAGATTCGAGATAAAAAGTTAACGATGGCACATAAGTTTTATAGTCCGAAACCAGATATGCCCAGGCCCAATCCAATGCGTATTGGATTGACCAAATCAATCATGTCAAGGAATTAGTCAGTTAGAGTTACAATTTTTCGATGGACATCTTTACAGCGCCACTTCATATACCCATAAGAGAGGACAACCAAACTTTTAAAAGGCTTGGTTTGACTTAAACAACCAATCCATGGAGATAGCCAGAATATTCCACTGACTGGAATTTCTGCTTAAAATTTTGCATGGGAAATGGGAGTTCCATTAATATCGGATTGACCATTGATTCTGATCTGAATCAGGCAGTCCAACTGAAGATTGTCTGTGTTCTCTAACCACGGTTCCAGACGATTCCAGCAATAAAGAGGGAAGAAGAATACGCGATCGAAACAATCTAAGAGAAACCGGAAAATAAGAATAAATTGGCAATGAAGATGGGAAATAAGGAAATTGAGGGTGGACAACCAAAAGGACCTGGAATGGGTCTTAACCAGTATTGTCGCCTATTCCAAGTTAAAAGGAAGATTTTTCTCTGGACTCCATGCAAATAGATTGAGAGGTGCATACTCTCTACCCTTGGATGCCAGAACATGCCACTACAAGGTGCATCTGTCGGGTGGCATTGCTTAACAAGTGTTCCCTCTCCATCTATGGAACGAGGAGATTTTTGAAGCGTAACTGTAAAATTTGCATAGAATATTTTCTATGCAAAAGAATCATGGTAAATAATGCAAGAGGTAAATGCACAACAGATCCCCAAAACGATCCTTACAAGAAAAAATAAGGGATGTTTTCCAGGTTTAATGCAACCAGAATCCCTTTCAGCTTCTCCCACAATGAAACATGGGAGTTGAAGGAACAGGAATGTTCTTCTCTGGGTCATATTTGGCCACTTGGGACCAGAAATACTGATGAGACGAGCATAGTCAAAGGAACATCGGAAGGAATACGAGTGGAAAGTCTGAATAGCAGGGTGCAGTGCAAGGAAGAGTGGATCAGACGTTTTAAGTTTCATAGGTATACCAGAAAGCAGAAATCCAGAAAAACTTCTTTCAAAGAAGATCCTAGGAAGATATTGGTAGCACTAGATATCACAAAAAAGCTTTCCAAAGTTTCAAAATGCTGAAGGGGATTCAAGAGAAAATTTAGAAAAGAACTGTTTCAAAAGGGTTTGGGGATTTCAAGAGTCATAGGAACTATCTGGGTGACCATCTAAGGTATTAGCAAAAGAGAAATGTGACAAAAGGAAGGTGGTTAGATAAATATAGAGTGCCGGCCATTCCTTGTGGTAATGGACCAGAAAGGCCTTCCCCAATCCTCATAGAGCTTAAAGATGGCTTATTCAGATTCAGTCCGCAGACAGGAGACGAGTGTCTATTGAAACAGCTGGTTCATGCAAGCAGAACATGGATAACATCCCCTTGCGGCAATCGAAGTCAATCCCACGGTTGGTAAAGCATTATGCAGTACGGTTTTGAAGGGATTTAATCCTGGGAGTGACTAATTTTAACTGTACGGTGCTACCCAGTTGTCAGCTGTATTGCCTGACACAGGACCGAGAAGATGAGAGAAAGGGATAGAATTATTATTTATTCTAAAGATAAATAATATATGACCTAACATATTTTCCAACATGAGCAGTAGAAAAATACAAGTGATAAATATAAGTAGTAGAAACATTTATCCTATCAGTAGAAACATATTTATTCTAGCACATAGACAGAGGGAAAAAAAAACCCAGGAAGAGGTGGGAAGGTTAGAAAAATGATAATATAAGTGATAAAAAATAATGCAACACAGGATAGGATTAGATTCAACAAAATAGTAAGGTCTTCTCAATGAATGACGTATATCACAGGGGCTGGCCATTACTGTGGGGAAAATAATAGTATCAAATGAAAACTTTACCACTGATGATGCTGCTAATAAAGCTACTTTCAGCTACACAGTTAATTTCATTACATTGGAAGTGGCATCAGATGTGCCTTTACAGCAGCTTATCAGCCACGCAAGAACAGAAAAAAAGAAGAATTCTTCAACTGCCTGGACTTCATAGGGGTCTAGCATAGGTGCCATTTTCCGAGCTTCCTCTTTGGGATTGGGCTGGTTCTAGGCCTCGGGAAAAGATGTCAAGCCTCAGGCTAGGCAACGCAAGGGGCAGGAAAAAGTTGGACCAGTTGGCACTCCTAGTTCGTATGTCACAGAAGTCAAATAATAACTACTCACGGTCAAGCATTTCATAAAAACTATGTTCTCATTCTAAAGGAGAGGGTCGACAAATGTTAAGATTTAAGACCAGTCAATCTGCTACATGGATATTGATGAAAAAGTTCTTGGGTTCCACACCGTCTCGATGGATAGAAGGGAAATAAAAATAGAATCTTATGAAGTTACTCTTAGGGTTCAAAGATCTCTTACTTTCAGAATGAAAGTCAAAATAGGATTCCATTGTAGATCTAGCTGCATTTTCCATTTGTTCCATGGATAACACACAAAAATGAAAAAAATCCAAATAAATCTCCGACTTTAAATGAAATTATTTTAAGATTTCTTGATTTCATTTTATGGACGGTCTCCAGATCATACTCGAAATAAACCGCCATATACTACTGAATTTTTCAAGTAAAATATGGAAACAGCGCATCCTAGTTGAATCCTATAGTAAAAGAAAATGAATGAAGTTCCTAACATATGACAGTGAAGAACTTATCACATGTTGTGAACTAAACTTCAAAATAAAATATGAGAGGTTCTCTCCCCCAGAAATTAATTTCTTGCAACACATTTTGGACAGCAAGTCCCGCGTGATTCTTCAGAGAGAAGACACATTTGCATCCTAATCCCGTAAACTAACCGAAAGAGAACAACGGTGGATAATTGGAAGACAGAACAACAAAGAAAAACAAGGAAAAGGCGAATTTTCACCTGTACAGCGGATCGACATCACCGGCGCTGGCGTCAAGGAGTCCAACGAGGAATCCCAACCCCGCGAGGAAAACAAGGCACCGAGCTGCCCCTGTGGGCGACATCTGACCGAAAAAGGAGATAAATCAAGAGAAGGCGCAGAATCAGCTTCTCTAAGGAAAACCGATCACGACCATATCAACAGCTTCCGATAAGAGCAACCTCCAGTCGCCGCCTCCCGCCTTGGGGCAGATCTGCTGCGTAGAGAGGAATTCACGTCAGGAAGAAAAGAAAAACGAAAACAAACAGCTTGTGAGAAACGGAGAGAAAACCAGCGATCCCCTCTACCGTTAAATCTCAAACCTAGACAGGAAGAACAAATCGACGAACTCCCGCAAACTCAGGTTTCTTTCCTTCCTCCTACCTTCGTAGCTCGCTCTGCCGCACCTGACCGTTCACTTCTCTCCCTCCCTGTCTCCACCCAACAGGAAAGACCGTTTGGCATCACTCGACCCGCCGGATTCGGATCTAACAGGCGGTATGTGCACCGCCGCTACCAACGACTCTTGACGTCAACGGGCCATTATTGGGCCTTGTGGTTAGTCCCGGCCTGCTAGTTAGCCCTCTCTAACGGCGACTTCCGACCCGTCGTCAACCTCCTCTCTCTCTCTCTCTCTCTCTCTAACGGTGAGTTCCGAGGGGTCGTCAAACTATCTCTCTCTCTAACGGCGATTTCCGACCAGGTCGCAAACTCCTCCCTCTCTCTCTCTCTCTCTCTCTCTCTCTATTTCTCCACCGTAACTACTGTCGAGCCCTTCTTGCTCGGCGGGAACTTCGGATCGAGAGCAGTCCCCTCCATCGCCAGCTCCAGATCAAACCCCTCCTCCGCCCCTTTCTGAGCCGCCGGAGATTCCTTACCACGTCGAGTCGGCCTACCCATCTCTTCCTTGGTCCCCATTGCTTCCTTCCCTCCACCCCCTCTCTTGCTCCCTCCGTGTGCTCCCCATGCGAGAGTCAGTCGAGCGTCACCTCTCTTCATTGGCCCCTCTGAACGTATGTATCGAGCGGCTCCTCTTCTCATGACCCTCTCTGCAAGAGTGTGCCGAGCAGCGTCGCCAGTCTACCGGCAAAGCAGAGGAATATTTGAGGTGCGATAAGTTGTCAATATGTAATCGGTGTCTTTATAAGTTGTTACCGAATGGCTGCAGACGCCGGATAGAATTACTTTTTTATGATGCGAATATGTCCGTGGATGAGGATGAGCACGAGAAATGTCGTGGGAATATTTATGCATTGGTGTTTCTATAGATAGTGAACTTGTTGAGATTAAACTGACCATAAATCATTAGACGCATCATGATCTAATCAAGTCTTATGTAAGACTGTCGTGCAATGATGCAACAGACAGAATGATTTTACGTGAACGTAATAATGCTAGGATATATAGAAGAACGCTTGCTGAAGGCGACGAAACCATTGATTGTGCTTTCTGTTAAAAACGGGCCAGGTAAAAAAATAAAATATTCATGAATTCTGGATTAGTCAACGGCCTCGGTTTTGTCCATCATACTCAACGGCCTAATTGCAGAAAATACATCTTAAAATTGCACATCGTCAAATATGAGGCACGGTGGAGGATACTACGATTCCTCTTTCATAGAATTTCTCAGAACTCGTGACTTTATTGACATGAAATGAACATACCTATTAGGAGGAAGATGAAGAGTGTTGTGGAGACGTTGGTGATGGTGGCTCTGATCGTTCTGAGCATTGCGCTTTTAAAGAGTCTAAATGTGAGATATCATTGGATAGTTTATAAAGTTTTATTTTGACCATCTAATGCGGATAATGTTGATCAGATGAGGAAAAAATCGATATGTAGGGTGATGACTGTATGTATAGACAATGTTATATCGCCATTTAATTATGATGATTTATACGGAAAACCAAACTTCGATGATTAAAAAAGAATTTGAATTCCTCACGATTTTTTTTTGACTGACCATTTGAGGTGCCCTTGTCCATCTGACCAGATCAAAAGAGTGGAAAAATATCTCATTTCCAGCGTCCAACGTGCCATTGTGAAGTTGGAAAGAAAACAAACCATGGAAAATCTTGTTCATCTTTTATTTGCGAGATGATAGTGCTCGCAATTCGTCACTATTACCCTGAAAGAGATACAAGAAAGATTTCACACAAAAGATACGAAAAAGTCTCATGAAGTGGCTTTCAAAAGTTATGATGATTAAGAAGAGTTGCACGTTCATATTTTACATTCTATGGGAACACTAAATTAAGTGCATGTGTTACTGTCTATTGCACTCAAGGATTTTCGATTTATCAAGAAGGTTTTTTAGCGTGGAAAATCCTGGCAATGGAACGTGCTCTGGTGTTCGTGGTTGTTGATAAAGAGAATACAGCGTCTTATACATGGTTTCTGAACAATGTTTTGATTTGTTCGTAAAAGGACAAAGAGATACATAGTCGTTGTTTTTATAGTTTCTGGCATTAACACTATGATGTGGTTAGTCATCTCTGAACTCACCATTTCCCATAATCTGTAACAGTCTAGCCGGCATTGGTGACGATGAAGAGAGATTTGGATGGGACAACTTATCATTACCTTTTCTTCCAGGTAAGGGAGGAGAGAGAGAGAGAGAGAGAGAGAGAGAGATTGGGGGGGGGGGGGGCGGATTGAAATGATTGACTTGTCCGTCAAGTCAGTGCGAAACCGTGTTTCTGTTTGTTTTGACGGTATAGACTTGGTGGCATACTCATCACTGAAGGGAAAATGCTGTATTCCTTCTGCTGATGTCTTTTGCAGATTGATCTGCTGGTGAATCCGTATCTGTCTGGGGGCTTCAATGGATCGTTCGCCCTTGTCCATGGAGATGGTTAGATTCTGTAACAGTTCTTTCTTTCCATTCTCTTTTCATCGTTTTGCAAATTTTCTTATTTAACTATTGCGTGCATGTCTTTGCTGACTTGAAGATGTTCTTGGGAGCACTGTGACTACTTAGAATTTTTCTCATCTTATCTTGAGGGCCGTTTGGAAACAGAGAAGGTTAGTATTATTTCTTTCATTGGGAACTTGCTGGAATGTTTATTTGCACTGTGGAATAACTAACGTGAATCCAAAAAATAATTGATTCAGTTTTCAAGAGTTATATGTCCTAACAGATTATCATAAAGCTTTTGTCCCGTGGTCTTTAAGATTATCATTGTCCCTTGAAATTTTGTTTTTATCCATAGCCCCTGAAGCTACATTCACTTGTCATGTACATTTCAAGGTCCAAGCGACTAACGGCTATAAAATGTTAAGACTTGGGAATTCATGTAAACAACAGCTTATATAGATTATACATTTTATAAATGATTCAAACAATAATACTTTTGAGATTATTAACATGAGTAGCATGAAGCAGACTTCATGTCTGTCAGTCACAAAATTCGCATGAGGAAGTGCAAGTTGCATTCTCACTAACCTGCAGCTGAAATGATGAGGAGCGGTGAACTGCGATATTCATGTGTCCTGCTGGTCTCTTTGCTTAATACTAATCGAGTTGTCTTATGCATTCAAAAGATAAAATAGAAGAGGCATTAGGCATACAGATTCACCCAAATAGTCTGCTTTTGACGGTGATAAGCACTTTAAACATGGAATAACTTCTGAAGCTATCAACTGATCATTGAGATTGCATCACGCTATAGCGGGATATTTCTCCATTTTCCTGACTGCAGATGCTTGCTCTCAGGACATGTTTGGCATGAGGACCACAAAAGGTTTCTCTGTTATGATGGGGTTTGTTGCACTTGCTTCTGTGACGTTACTTGGGGTTTATGTTTGGTTTATCTGTCTGAAACAAATGGCGGCGTACAACCCCATTGTATACAGTAAGCCTATACGGGGGATGAACCTGGGCGTTGAAGAGTGTCTAACGTCAGGTGCTCGGCCTGGAAACAGGTCACATTATCCGAGACCAACGAGTTATAGCAGGTGCCGAACACTATCTTCAACCTTTGATGTCTCTCTTTTGTCTTCGTCGCTAATATCAATTGATATCTCAACAGGGCCGAGTGCGCATGCAATCCTGTCCATTTCTTTGCAATTCTGTCCATGCAGAGGTCTGGAAGTGGATGGTTTGAAACTTTATTGAACAGCCACCTCAATGTTAGCTCTAATGGGGAGATATTTTCAGTGAAACAGAGACGGAGTAACGTCTCATCTATCTTGAGCACCCTAGATAAGGTGTACAACCTGGACTGGTTTAGCAGTGCTTCTAAAAATGAATGTTCAGCTGCAGTTGGTTTCAAGTGGATGTTCAACCAGGTAAGAAAGATATATGGTACTGTGCCTCATGCTGGATATTCTCTTTAGGAAATATATCCCATCTTTTGTCAAGTTCTTGAAGGCTTTTTGACAGTACGTGAGCTTCCAATACTCATGGTTTTGCCCTCCTAACAGATTTAATGGGAATTCAAGCGACCTCTCATGGTTACAGCATGTTGGCCAAATACATCACAAATGTTAATACCCATTCTTCAATGGGGATACTTTTCTGAGTCCATATCGCAGTAGTTTGCATCTCATTTGGCACACATTAGCCAATCAGCATTCTCCTAACACTTCAACAACCGATAAGAAGTGTTTGTATGACATAACATGGCATCTTATGCATGCGCATCTTTCAATGGATGAAATCATCATTTCCATAATGATGATATCCACCTCATGTTATTCTGAAGCAGCCTATATGTTCCATGTCCTCGCATTTCCAAAGGTTACTAGCCCATGCTTATGCTTTGTATCTCAATGTGTGTTTGTGCTCATTCCGTACAGCTTAAATCAGTAGAACTAATGTCTTGCTGATGGGTAATACAGGGCGTGCTGAGATATCACGAAGATGTAGTTGACTACTTCAAGCGAAGAGGAGTTTCTGGAGTATTCCTTCTGAGGAGAAATCTCTTGGACAGGATGATCTCCATTATTGCAAACACGTATGATCAGAGTGTGAAGCCGCTCAATGGGACGCACAAATCACACGTGCATTCGAAAGAAGAGGTCGCCGTTCCTCTGTCTTCCATTAAGATCGGAAACCCTGCCTACCCACCTCCTTGAGATTCCCCTCAATCTTTCTCTCTCCTTTCCTCTTTCAGGCTGAAGTGCTGGCGAGCTACAAGCCGACGATTAATGTGAGCTCATTGATACCTGATCTCAGACGGGCAGAAGAGATGGCGGCCGAAGCAGTGGAATACTTCAAGAGCACTCGCCACATGATTCTTTACTACGAGGACATCGTCAACAATCACTCGGTGAATTGCTCTTAAAGCGATCGATCTCGACCACTTACCTCCTTGAACGCCCCCTGCCTTTTTGAAAGCCTGACGCTGACTCTTTTGTTCCATACACGCTGCAGAAGCTGATGGACGTTCTAGATTTTCTTGAGATTCCTCGAAGAGATCTGATCAGCCGCCAGGTCAAGATCCACACGAAGCCTCTATCGGAGCAGATTGAAAACTGGGAGGAAGTCAGGGATGCGCTCAAAGGGACGAAGTATGAGGGCTTCCTAGCTCCCCGAGGTAACCCATCACAGCCTCCCCGGAGATCAAGACGCCATGTGATGTAGGGAATTTTAAATTCATTTATTCATTTAATTATTTGTTTATCATGGGCATCCAACGGCTCATGCATACCCCTTTTTTGTTGCCCATATTTCCGATTAAAGTAATTTATTGATTTATTAAGGCCATGATCTCAACCTCAGCTCGGGCCAGAAAAAGCTAGTTTTGTGGCGTTGGAAAAGGTCTGGACTTGTTCTTGTGATGGGTGGAGGAGGGGCAGTGAGTGATGGGGGGTTGTGATTGGGCTCGCTACGATTTCGCTATGGGAAGATGGATTCGGCCTTGTGTAGCTCTCGATAAGGGATTCTTTTCGAGGCTTTTTTATTTATTTTATTTGCTCAAAGTTTATTTTTCGCTCATGCAAATCAGAGACTCAGTCTTTCTTCTGGTTCCAATCTACTCCATTGCCTGTTCTAGGTTGACTTTGGGCTTGCTAAGAGATCCGGCCCAGAAGATCCTCTCTCTCTCTCTCTCTCTCTCTCTCTCTAGGTACCCGTTGTTGGTAAGAGAGTTAAATTTCGAGGCGTACAAAGAGACTATCTTAGAAGAGAGGAGAATCAGCATGCTTTAAGCATGTTCCCGGGGGGATGGAACAAGCGCTAGAATGATGATATTATTCTAGATAGAACGTGCTGCTATGAATTTCAATAATAGGAAGAAAATCGAGACAAATAACCCACCACGGCAGTCCGGCGCCCTTTTGACTTCTGCTTGTTACGCCAGATCGCCGGGGGGTCGAAAGGGAGCCAGCTTATTGTCACGTGGAGGGTCGACGCCTGAGAAACCACGCCACATCAGCACATTCGGGGAAAGGAAAAGAGTCAACGCTGGAACTCAATCATGGCCCCCCAAAAGGGAAGGGGTGGGGGGAACCCACCTGGAGAGGGGTCAACGCTGGAGACGGATACTGAATTCAGGCGGCAGGGCCCTTCTTCTTGTTGGGCTCGAAGACGTAGCGGATGAGGGACTCCTTGATGGGTAGGAGCTCGGGGAACTCGGTCTTGAGCTTGGAGGCGTCAAGCTCGTTGTTGCTGCGGGGGGCAACGATGACGGTGGCTTGCTCCTCGAGGGTGAAGTTCTTCCAGGTGAACGTGGAGTCAACGTAGTCCCTGTACATCTCCAGTATCTCGTTGTGGCTGACCACTCCAGGGTTGGTGAAGTTCCAGACTCCGGTGAGGTTCCTCCTGGCCATCTCGATGGAGATGGGGAGGAGCTCGTCCAGGATGGTCATGGAGTTGGGGATGTTGACCACCTTGTTGTAGCGGGTGATCTTCGTGATGAAGTTGCGGGGGTTGGAGAGGTCCGAGGAGATCGGCATCCTCACCCGGAGGGTGCAGACGTTTTCGTAGCTCTTGAGCAGCTCCTCCACCTACAGGCACCAGGGGTGCAGAGATTATTCATCCGACCGAGGTCCACCCTCAGAAACAAGCATTACTCCCCCAGGATCACTGGTAAATAATTAGACATGCTCGTGTTACCATAGAGTTCTTACACTTTTCCGATTGAATTCCGGTAGCTGGGTCTGATTCTTGATGATTTCTTACAGTACTATTAAAAGGAAAGAGTACTGATCCTGGGTGTGCTCTAGATTCTCTATATGTCTTAAAAAAACCAGTATTTTGCGCACAAAAGTACTGCTTTCTCCCGATCATGGCCTCAATGCATGATGATTTCTCACATGATTATTTAATGGGTAAAGAACAACAACCTTCATCACTGAAGATGCTAGCTGAAGATCAGCCATTCTTGAACAAGATCCAAAGTGGACCAACCAGGGAATCAGAATTCCTAGCTTCCAGTACCACATGATCATGCCAAAAAGAGTTTTTTTTTTTATGTTTTGGTTGACAGTTCTATACAGTTTTGACTACAATCAGCCACTTTTACTACAGCCATGAAAGTTTTTGTTGATCATATGATCAAATCAGAAGAAAATTTTTCTTGTTCTGGCAGACAGTTCCAGCCCAAACATTGAAAACATCAAACAATTTGCAATAGTTAGTCATAAAAAAAATGTTTGGTTCAGTGATTCAGTCACACGCTGTTAACCTCCCTCTCTTCAGGAGTTCATGATTTGTTTTCACCAAAGTTATGCGTGCCTCAATCTGACATATTTGACTCATGAGTCAACTAAGTTCTATCCAAAGCAGCCTGATTCAATGCACAGGTATCATTTAGATCAAGCTTTTTTATATTTCTAATCCATAAGAGTGCTGTTGCATGCATGTCTCAGGCCATCTACCAGCAAAATCCCACCCGCTTGCTATCCCACACAGAATGAATCATCAGACCATATCTTCACGTAGAAGCAACCATCTGGGTTTCTATATGGGAGGAATGAAAGGAATACCTAAAAAACTAAAGTGACCCAAAGGCCTATGATAGGCAATTGAGGTCTGTAGTTATGCGAATAAAATATGTTCTTGATCTGCCACTCTCTCAATGGATTCTAACCAATCACAGTGCAGAAGGTATTGATGTCAAAAGCATTGAAACAACCATACAAGAAACAAGAAAAAATTAGTCCAGATTTCAGAGAATCACACTCACAATAGGTTAAGTCTGAACTAGAACTCACTGGAAAAATACGACGAGAGATATCTGATGCATATACCCGCAACAATTATTTCCCTCGGAACACTCCCTTTTGTTTTTCTTCAAACACTAAGCGAATTCAAGCACAATTATGTAAACAGGCGTCGTAGTCACTAGCCAAATCAACGTTGCTGAAGCCTAAAAATGGATGCTACAATGCAGATAGGGCCCGAGTCAAGTATGAAAACTTAAAACGGAAATGAAGTGCGATCAAACAGATAAAGCCCATAGCTCAAGAAAACTATGAGAATTCCAGCGTGAACTATAGTCTCGTCTTCTTTTAATCTTCTTCTTCAAGGCTTTCACGAAATATTTCCCGTCTATTTCGTGAACTACGAGTCAAGCACCAAATACTGGAAAAAGGACGGGAAAGACGAAAACCCCATATGAACTATGAGTCCAGCACCAAATACCTTTGCCTTCTCAAAATGAAGCCGCGGACGAAAAGGCAGAACATAATAAACTAAGAGAGCGTGATTAGGTCAATAATTCAGATACCAATACTGGAAACAAAACAGACAACGAACCGTCAAATTGAACAAGACAGAAAAAAACATCTTCAGTTCCAAATTTTCGACAAAAATGAAGCATCGACGGTGGAAATCACTGTCAAATCTAGAGGACACGGGAAAATGGAAAGTGCGGTACCATGGCCTTCGTCTTGGAGTAGAAGGAGCCGACGAAGTTGGGAGTGTCCTCCTCCTTGTAGCCAACCCCGGATCCGAGCAAGTGGCCATCGTCGTACTCGAAGATGCAGCCGGTGGCGTAGTTCACCACGAGGATCCCCTTCTCCCGGCAGACGTCAACCAGAGTGAGCGTTCCGACGACGTTGGTGCGTATGGTCTCCACCTTGTGCGTCTCGCACCAGTCGACGTTGGGGCGGCCGGTCACTCCGGCGGCGTTGAAGACGTGCGTTGGCTGCGCCGCCGCGATGTCCGCTTCGATCTGCGTCCTGTCCTCGAGGCGGCCGGCGGCGTAGGAGTAATCTAGGCCCTTCGCCTCGCAGAGCCGCCCGAGCAGGCCCCCGATCCACCCCGTGCGCCCGTAGATCAGGAACTTGAGCGGCTTCTCTGCTGCTGCAGAGCCATTCGATTGGAATCCCATCGCGATGCGGATGCAGATGCTACAGGCGGCGCCGCCGAGGAGAGAGAGAGAGAGAGAGAGAGATCTGGGAAGATGCAGTAGGCGGGGAGGGAGGTATCAGAGCGGGCACCGATGGGGAGATGTAGTGACAGCCCGAGACGGAGCTCTCATGGGGGAGCTTGGTGGGGCCCAGACGTAGGTGTGACTAGCGAGAGGCGACTGGCCGGACACGTCACCGACATGCGATTGAATTGTCCATTTTCCCTGTTTCTACTCGTGCACATATCGAATTATCTTCTCGCCTCTTTTTGCTATTTCCAGTAATGTCTTTTACCATCATATGCAAATCGTGAAAATGGCGGCGGAGCGGACGGCGGGCATCTCTCCCCATCCGCCGCCACGGTCGTCGGCTCCTGAGGCAGGACCCTTGGGGCCCACATTAAAACACTTTTTACGTAAAAAAATCATGTTTATAAAAAAATCAACCGATTTTTTGGAAACCAGCGGCGGTTTCTTGGGCCGAATCATAGACCGTTCTCCGTGTCCAGGCTGTCGAGTCCGGCCGCCATGTGGGTGGGCCCACGGAAGCCCATAATCTCGCGGATATATATATATATATATAAATATTTTCCATCTCGCCTTAATATCTAATAAATGGAAAAGACAACGCACCTTCATCGTCGGGTTGTTTGGCCCGATCTATTGAGAAGAGAAATCGATTTTGGCCGGAAAGCTCCTGGCCTCAGAATCTGTCGCATCGCTGTTTAGGAAAATAACCCCGATATTAGTGGGAATATTATAGGGATAATTAGGTGGCCGCTAGTAGATTAAAGCCAAGCAGGGGAACCTGTCGGCCGCCTCCGTCTTGCTGATCAGGGAGATGTTCTTGGATGCGACCATCTCGAAGAAGCCGCGGAGGTCGGTGGCCTTCCACCTCTGGAAGATTTCTCGGAGAAACTGGTTGAACTCCTCGGGTTCCTTGAGAAACACGCTTTTTTAATAATCCAGAAAAACCCAATTATAGTAATATCATGGGCAGATGATGCTTGCCTGTTCGAGGACGCAGGCCCTTCTGAGGGCCATCAGGCAGTCGATGGCCTTGGGGTAGGCGTCCCCTTCGTAGGAGTTCTCCAGGAGGTCAGAGATGTAGATCTTCATGCTTCTTATTCCCCGGACGACCCACTCCGAGCCGTCTCTGCGGGCGATCATGGCCTCGAAATCCTCGATGGGGGAAGTATCCCCGATTTTCTCCACCTTCGCCGCGTCTCGTGGGTCTGAGCTCTGAACCAGGGCCTCATCTGATGCTGCATCTCGAGATCGCTTTGAAGATTTCTTCTAGAACAAATGTGAGTGACTATTCGGATAAGCAGGCCGCCGAAAAACTGGGGTTTCCAGAAAAGGAAATATGCATATATAGAAAGATAGAGATAGAGAGACGGGTGAACCTTTGGGTTGTGCTTGAGCTCGAAGCAACCACGGAAGTCAGCTAGAACTGACTTATTCTCAGAGAGATCTGGGTCGGGCTCAGTGACCGCTCTCAGACTTGTGTCAAGTGGAGGAACTTCTGAATCTGGCTTCGTTGACTTGAGCTCAAGAAAGCGGAAGAAACGCTGAAACAGGACGAGGAGCATTGATTGGGTGGTCAAACTCGATTCCCATGCAATGGGTTTCTCCGCAGAAAACGTTGACAACTGAATAATCACAGCTGGCTCCCGTCACCAATTCCTTGACGTAATATACCTAACACTAATCAGGACCTTAATGCTAAATCTGGGATAACATTTACATAATATAAAGTCAACCCCACATCTAACATCTATGAGCAGCTGGTGACAACAAAGTCATAGATCTTCCCCGCATATTTAGGTGTAGATTATGATTTTACCAGCAGAATTCAACCCAGACACAATCTGTCAGCTAGATTTGTAAAAGAAATTGACTTGGTTGAATTGGAATAATAATATGTTGTGCTGACTTTCCCCCCTCCCCCTCCGCCCATCAAACACAGATCATGCTAATCACATGCATAGTAGTCCAATTACTATCACTAGACACCAAAATTGCCATTACACCTCCATCTGTCCCAATTTCATGGAATTTCTGATTGGCATAAATAAAGAAAAGAAAATTGACTAAGGAATGCTGTTGTCATTGTACGAATCTATTGCATGAAAACATGTTTATTTTCGTGGATTATAATTATTAAAACCGAGTGTAACAACATCATGTCCTTAGACTCAACAGTTTTGTAAAATATTCGCAACTGGAAATGGTAGGAATCTAAGACAAGCAGAACTGCAGGTAACCAGTTGTCAATTTTTGAAGTCTAAGAAATTTTAGTCATCAAAAGTGTTGAATACTGTATATGTTATTGGATCTGGGCTGTATAGGTCCATCCGAGTCGTGGCCATATCGGCTCATATGGGTATGGGCCCTATCGCTCCATCTAGGTCCCTTGAGACTCTGGTATAAATACCAGACTGTCAATTACGGTTTTGGTTGTCCGAGTTTCCTGGGTCTAACTCCCTCTCTCTTTTGATCTCTCTCATTGTGACATGGTATCAGAGCAGAAATCCTAGGGACGTCGTCCCCTGATTGGTGCTGCCACCAGTCTAGCATCGCCCCGTCTGGTGTCACCCTTGTTTGGCGCTTCCCCTGTCCGAACCTGCCCTCTATTAGAGTGCTGCTCTTGTCCGGGGCTGCCCTATTCGGCACCGCTCATCTGCTCAACGTCATCTTCTGCTTGCTACCGCCACCATCCTCCATCCAGCTGTCTCCCTTCGGCCCAACTCGGAGGGTTATCATCCTTCATCTGGCTGAGACCAGAGAGTCCACATCTAGTGTCACTACCAAGGTCCTAGCAGCACTCCCTCCATAGGAGTCATGAGGTGTTCAGCATCAGTTAAAGTCATACGTCAAAAGTCAATGGTTAAAGTAAACGTTGAAGTGAGTTTCCTGTTTTTACAGCAATCACTGATGAATCAAAATCTTTTATAGCTCCACAACCAGCAGTGACAGTCCAAAACCATATCATTACATCTTAGAAATTAAACGACAAGAACTATAATCAGTGGAGTACATCTAACAAGATCTATTTCAAAATCAAGGATATATTTTCATAGGTTGATTGTGATATCCTCTTTAGATCGATTGATCTCAATCCCAAAAAAGTATTTGAGAATACCAAGGTCCTTGGTTGCAAATTACCTTTGTAAAAACTCTTTGAGTTAGAAATTGTTACCAACATACTTCATAGAACGACTATACACCAAGCATCTTGATCCATGTCTGCATCACACTGAGGTTTCCCAAGAGTAATCTAAGTAGAGGAGAGCTATACAAGAATAACATTCATCTCACAACTAAAGGTTTTTCAGATGCTGATTGTGTTGGTTGCAATCTAGACGTGTGATCTTTCATTGATTATTGTATTTTTCTATGAGGCAAATCCTATTTCATAGAAAAGTGAGAAACAATGTGGTCTCACAATCAAGTGTTAAATCATAATACAAGGCAATGTCACACACTATATGTAAGCTGATAAAAATCAAACATTTTCCTAGATAACTTAGTTTTCCTTTTGCATGTCTTACATAGTTCAAACGTGAAAACCAAGTGGCAATCTATGTTTTCTCTAATCATGTGTTCCAAGAGAGGACAAAACATATTGAAATTGATTGTCACTACATCAGAGAGAAGATTCAAGCATAACTCATCACTATAATCCACATTAACTCTACATATCAACTTGCAGACATATTCACTGAGTCTTTAAATGGTCACAAGGTGTAATTTCTATGTAACAAGCTAGATGTATACATATACTATTAGATCTAGGCTGTACTACCCTATCTAGGTCATGGCCATATCAGCTCATATGGGTATGGGCCCTATCAATCCATCTAGGTCCCTTGAGACTCTGGTATAAATACCAGATTGTTGATTAGGGTTTTGGTCGTCTAAGTCTCCTAAGTTTCTCTCCTTCTCTCCTTTGATCTCTTTCATTGTGACATGGTATCATAGCAGCAACCCTAGGGAAGTCATCCCTTGATTCGCGCTGCCTGATGTCGCCTTTGTTTGGCACTACCCCTATTCAATCCTACCACTACTCCAAAGCCGCCCTCTATTCCGGGCTGCCTTGTTTGGTGCTGCTCATCTGTTCAGCGTCAGCTTCTGCCTACTACTACTGCTATCCTCCATCCAATTCAACCTAGATCGGAGGGTTCTCATCCTTAATCTAGCTGATCTAGATATACGAAACAACAATAAGTATTACTAAATATACAAAACAAGACTTGTAGAGATTGCTTTATATACTGTAGAGAGATAAAACCAAGAGGGGTTTCCAAGTGTGGATACACTCAATCCACAAGTTCTTTTCTGTGTACTTCATCTGTTATACTTTTAGTTTTAAGGGAAGAAGACTCTTCATGCCTAATGATTCTTCTAAATAGCATGACTGAACTCTGATGAGGAGGTTCCCTAATACTGCTAGAGAATAAGACACCTATAAGGTCCATATTCACGGAAAGGGTGCCATAGAGTGTTTAATGAGTATGATGAATGAACATGTCTTTAATATCAACTACAACAATAATTCTTTAAGAACCACTTAATAAATTTTCAGTCGAATGATCTTAAATCTATAATGTACCTCTCCTCAACTATATAGTTCTTAAGATAGTAGAGAATAAACACAATATTTTTGAAAAATCTAAGATCACTATGAATAGACAACTTCACCCTACAAATGTTATTTTCATAAATTATTTATCTTAACATGTCACATTTAATGATGTGGTCTGACCTAGAGAATGACACCTAGCTAAAGATCTACAATGACGCAGTGGTGTTAGGGTCACAACTATTACCATTAGTAGTACTAAGAATAGTTGATTGGGGAGGACCATTACCACCTTTCTCAATATTATGAGCACCATTGCCTCCATTATATTCTATTGGTCATACATTTTATTCAAGAAGGAGATTTGCATCCTCGACCAAAACATTCAACCAATAACATATAATGGAAGCAATAGTATTCATAACATTGAAAAAGGTGGCAATAGTCCTCCCTAACCAACTATTCTTAGTGACACTTCCAACAATAATAATTATAATCCCAACATTACTACTTTATTACAGATCCTTAACTAGGTGCTATTTTTTGGGCTTGACTACACCACTACTTACGATATGCTAAGATAAATAATTCATGAAAATAATGATTATATGACAAAGTTATCTATTCATGATGATCTGAAAATTTTCAATAATATTGTGCTTATTCTCTACATCTCAATAACTAAATGGCTGAGGAGAGATCCATCATGGATTTGAGATCACTAGACTAAAAATCTATTAAGTAATTTTTTAAAAATTATGATTATAATTGTTATCAAGGAATACACTCATGACACCATTAGACACTCTACGACACTCTCTGTGTGAATATGGACCCTATAAGTGCCTTATTCTCTAACGACACTAGGGAACCTCTTCATTAGAGTTCAACCATGCCATCTAGAAGAATCATTGGGCATGAAGAGTCTTCTTCCTCTGAAACTAAAAGTAAAACAAATGAAGATAATTTCTAACCACATAAAAGAGCTTGTGGATTGAGTGTATCCACACTTGAAAATCTCTCTTGACTTTATCTCTCTACAACATAAAGCAATCGTTACAAGCCTTGTTTCGCATATCTAGTAACACTATATTGTTGATCATTTTATCATTAATAAACATTCGCATGATGGTTGTATTTTGTTGATTGTATATCTTGATGACATTGTCATTACTAGAAGTAATTATGTAGGTATCTCTAACTCAAAAAGTTCTTAATTACAAAGTCAATTTGTAACTAAGAACCTTAATAATCTCAAACACTTCCATGGGATTGAGATTGAGTGATCTAAAGCAAATTTTGTTGGTTGATTGTGATTGCCCTTTATCTTCTTGTAGAGATAAGGTCAACTACCACTCCCATGGACCCTAACTTGAAGTTATCATTTGATAAAGGTGAAAGTTAAGGATCCAAGGAGGTACAAACAGCTAGTTGGTAAATTAAATTATTTGATTCTCATCCAAAAAAATTTCTCATTTGCCACTAGTATCATGAGTAAGTTCATAGAACCACTATACACCAAGCATCTTGATGTTGTTGACATTGAGGTATCTCAAGAGTAATTTAAGTAGAGAACTTCTATACAAGAATAACAATCATCTCACAATGCAAGGTTTTTTAGATGTTGATTGTGCTGGTTGCAATCTAGACATGTGATCTTTTATTGATTATTGTATTTTTCTTAGAGGCAATCTTATTTCTTAGAAAAGTAAGAAGCAATCTATGGTCTCAAAATCAAGTGTTGAATCATAATATATGGCAATGGCACAAACCGAAATGGATTAGACATTTTGTTAAAGAAATTAGTATTCCTCATGCATGTTCTATATAAAGCTTAAATGTGACAACCAAGTGGCCATCTATATTTCCTCTAATCATGTGTTCCAAGAGAGGACAAAACATATTGAAATTGATTGCCACTTCATTAGAGAGAAGATTCAAGCACAACTCATTATTATAGTCCACATTAATTCTACATATCAACTTGCATTCACTAAGTCTCTAAATGATCACAAGGTGTAATTTTTATGTAACAAGCTAGGTGTATATGACATGTATGCTCCAGTTTGAGGGAGGTTGTTGAATGATGTATATGTTATTGGATCTAGGTTGTATTAATCCATCTAGGTCATGGCCATATTGGCCCACGTGGGTATGGGCCCTATCAGCCCATCTAAGATCCCTTGAGATTCTGGTATAAATACCAAAGTCTATCGATTAGGGTTTTGGTTATTGACTCTCTTGGGTCTCTCTCCCTCTCACATTCCATCTCTCTCATTTGTGACAAAAAGGAAACATTTAATCAACATAAATAAATTTGCAACTAACAAAGTTGAGGCAGCTACTCGGCTACATACCTCTAAAACTGGATTTGGCGTCATATCAGGCATTAGTATTTCCCCTCTCCCATAGGGTACAAGGTCGAGCATCTTAACTAGATTATCCGCAGCATCTTGTTGTTGTTCGGTTGGTTGCCAAGAAGAAGGGAAGCTGCTAAAAGATGGAAACTGAAATTCTCGAACATCTTCAGCAAAAGGAAGCACATTGAAATAAAAGGAATCTGGCTGTCCATAAAAGGAATGATACACTGTCAGAATAGGAGGGGTGCGAAGAGGCTTGTATTTAGAAGTCAAACACAGCGCATATAGACAAAAAAGTAGGTACAAGGTGCTTGATGGATCACCATAGTATCCATTGAGGATATATTTGGCGTCAATACCCCAACTGTGACACTCCCTTGACCTTGTCTCCAAACACACCGCAAAAGAGCAACTTTGTTTGTCTCTCTCATTGCTCTAGCTATGGAAGATACTGCAACACCAGCTTTTTTGTTGCCCGGTTCAGGGATAAAGGCATAGACTTCTTTCAAGAAATAGTGCCTTGAACGAGAAAAAATAAAAATGCAAACGAAATGAGAATCACAAATCCAGACAATTCAAACACTTGATCGGCACCATCGAAATCATGTTAAGAAATCAAGACATAAAACAAGCCGATCCATTGGAAATTAAAATCACATGAGATAAGGAGACAAGGAGACAAGGACTTGTGTCAGGGATAGCTTTCGGGTGCCATACTCACACAGAATAGCTTTCAAGACTATATCTACTCGGCACAGAAGTCCACGTGCCAAGGTCATATGACAAACTCTTAGTTCAGCACCCGAATTTTCATGAATTATGTGTTCTTCACACATGAGTTCAACAGATGGCATTTCTAACCTATCGTCTTGTGACTGGAAGATTCAGAGTTACTGACAAACAATAGAAGAAGGTTTCATAGTGCTTGCAATGAAGTGCGTAAACCTTGCAGTAAGACGAAACTAAAGGCGGTTGCTAGAACTTGAGCAAATACCAGTGTGAAGACAGATATCCTTTGAAAAAAACTACCGCAATTCAAGTTTTTTTCACTTGAAAAAAACTACTGCTATTTATTAGGGATGTTATAAATGTTTATTTATATCTCAAAAAAAAAAATCAACTTGCTAACCGAATTAGTTAGATCTGTGATTTATTTACACGTATTGGTAGTTTCAGGCAGTAGCATGCTACCCATATCAAAACTCACTAGTTAGAACTGTAAAATCCATGCTCCATGAAACGGTGCTGAACTCGTTCATGTCAAACATTATAAATTGGATCCTGCATGAAATCCTGCCTTTCTTCTCACTCTTAATCAAGAAAAATTGATGTAGGAAAAAGCTAAAAATCGATTTCATAGATTTCTCATTCAATGGTTTAGGCTAGGGTTATCGTGAGTCAGAAATCATTCATTAAATCAGTAAATACCAATCCGTTCTGTTTCGGGTACACAGAGTATCATCGCATACATTATTTAAATTGACACAATGACCATAGACTTGCTGGTAGTAATGAAAGGGAAAGATGATACTTCAGCAAGTACTATACCATGAGATCTAAGCATCTATAGTGTATCACTAAACTTGTTCTAAGTGCAAACAAGTTTCAGACCAAGAGAATTTAATCCCCAATTGAGAGCTCAGAATCTCAGGATCTACACTTAGAAAAGGAATAAAGTTTGCAAAGATTTGGATTTGCTGAGAATATCCTAATCAAACACCATTAGAAAGCAAAGAGTGAAATGAGCCATCACACAGGGAGCCACTAGTCTTCACATAAAGTAGTAATACAAAGAGTGAAAATGAGAAAGTCCCATGAGGAGTCTCTAGCTCCCTAGAACTTTCACGATGGTCATAAGAGATCACCCTTACTGTAGGCAAAAATGAAAGGACAGATGAGTTCCATGATCAAATTCTAAATCGCTCCAACAACACAAAAGGGGAGGAATTCACCGCATAATGTTGGATGCATCAGTAAATCCCAGAAGCTTAACACTCTTCTCAGGTTTGAATTTGACAGCCTCCCATTGATCTGATGAAACAGGAATTATTTGTGGCCCATATCGATAGCCTCTAATTCTCTGCTCCGGAGGAACATTTCTACTAGGATCCTCTAAACTTTTGTATTCAAAATCTACTTTAACTTCGTGAGTGGCAAATCTATCACTTGCAGGGGCTTTATCAGAGTACTTCTTCAGCGTGGGAAATCTTTCCTCAGACGTTTTCTTGTATACCCAGATCTAAATGAGAAGAAGAAAAGAGCTGTGAGAAAGAATATTAAAAGCATATTCACCGGGATATAAATGCATCCCTGACAAATAATCAAATTGAAATCTTCTACACGGGTGAAGAATTAAATTATCCAACTCAAATTATTGAAAAAAAAACAATTAAATCTCGGTAAAAGAGTTATGTTGCTCATCTTCCAGGAAACTCTATAACATTGAAAACTGACGTTCAATGGCAACATAAAAAACAGCATCATAAGCTAACTTATCTGATGCATTTCCTATTCTTGACAATGTCTATGCAACATCCAAACAACATTCCTTTCTTCTATTTACACCAATTACAAACCATAGGCAATTATTATGCATTGCCACCCCCTCACTTTAACCCAGACAAATATTTGCCAGTGCATTCACAGTCGTGCAGGTTCAAGCCCTCTGATCGTAAACGGAGCAGCAAAACAACAAACACTTATTAACAAGCACAAGTTTAAACATGTGTGACAGTGGCCGTCAAAATTCTAGCATAGACATGTGTCAGTCAATGGACCCTCTTGGTGCTCAATAAGTAAACATTTTTCGAAGTAAAAGCAATAGTAATGGGGACTACTTCAACCTCGGTTCATCAATTCTCATTACAAGTCTCCGAAGAGTATGCACAACAGAAAATAACAGTTGATTAATATAAATAAATCATAAGCACAAATCTGTTGGTTAATGTCAAAAGAATAAGTGTAGACACCTCACCTTAATTTTCATTTTTGAACTTAATTCAAGGTCGCCTCTGAAAACAGTGACAGGAGATATATTTCGTGTTCGAAGAGCACCCAAAAGTGCTGCCGGGCTAGCAACATATCTAATTTTCGCATTTCCTTTCCTTGAGATATTACAAAGTAGAGAATCATTCTCAACCAAAATCTTTTGATCGGCCATCCCAGATGACATTCTGGTGATTATACAATCTAATTTGATTCCATGTGACTTCATCTGTTCGGAAATGATTCCAACTTGATCTTCCTTGGTACCTTCATAAGGCTCCTTTGTGAGACTTTCAGCATCCGTTATAAGACAAAGGCGCATTTTTCCCTTATTTGTTGTACCAAACTTCTTTATCAACAAATCCATTCCAACGACAATGGCATCCAGAACTTTCCCCGAGTTATGGACAGCAAAATGTTGAAATTTAAGAAATAAACCAGCATCTTCTAAACATACTACTAGAAACATATCAATTGTGCGTTATACACTTAAAAATAAAAAGGACATTAAAATGTTCTTCTCTAACAGTTCAAGCGTTTTCAAAAGCCAGCAAGCGGCAGTCATCAAATAATTAATAGATTCAGCATCAAGCTGAAAAATTGAAAAAGAAAATAATGTCATTGGACTGGATACAATGGCATTGTTCACCATCAGTCAAATCCATATGAAGCTCAAATTTAATTACTCACCTTATCATTAACATTGCATTATCTAAAAACAAAAATCCAATGAAGTGCGGTTTTCATGAACAGATTTTTGCAGGAGAGAGCCAACTCAGGAGCGCCACTCACTAAGAAACTGATACACAGAAAGATACTCTGATTGGCAGACATGAAAACACAGATGTATATATTAAGACCAAAATATAGTTCATTTCATAAAGGGATACAGTCACCAGCTACAGTCCCTCGAGGGAGCTTCTTTAAAGTTCCCAATAGATTCCTGTTGACAGTGCTGATCCCATTCAGAACCACAATGTGATCATAACCTCCAACTTGCTTTGCCAAATCATTGTCTGTTTCTGTAGACTCCAACAATGCAGAAGTCATAAAATAGAAAACAATACAATCGAATTATTGAACAACAAGAATATTACGATACGAGTCATAAAAGTTGGCAACAGAAGCTCAGGCATAAAACTGATCTTTGCAAATACTTTATCAGCAAAGTACATTGTGTGCACACTGCAACTAAGCTCAAAAAACAACTCTAGTGGTAGATACAGGTAAGTTTTATGCATTTTTCATGTTTTGAATATGAAAAAAAAACCTCCTTAGATAAGATTCAGCATTTGAAAAAAAATGTGACACAAGAAATTTGAAAAAAAAATGATTCTACTATTGATAGAAGTCCTTTCACAAAAATGCCCACTTGGATCAGTTAGATCATTTTATAGAGATCCAAGTCAGCCATTTTCTCTGTAGAGCAGATGAATACACCTTCTGTTCCAAACAGCACAACTCCAACATCATCATTCCACCCATAAATTAACTGCAACAAAAGAATAATTCAGCTAACAAAAGTTAGACTTGTTTCGAGCCAAAGTAAAGGACGACAAGACCCTAACGTGCTGAGCTCTTCTAGGCACATTGAACTACGTAATGAAACAAATGTTGGCATAAATCAAGAAATGAGAAAAGATGAGAAACGACTTGCCTTCTTCTGGACAAGTATTGAGCAAATTTTCTCGACATCTGGAAGAGCGTTGTGCATGGATGGGCCAATATCAAGCAGTAAAGTCAGAGATTCCTGCGAAATGAGTATGTTAAATAAATAAATAAATAAATAAATAAAAAGGGAATAACGCATTACAGCCGACATCAGCCGGCTCCGGTTGCCAGCCGACTGTTTTAATCTTCTGAAAGTTGAAATAATCTACCCTTGGAACTCCAATGAATGTCTAAAAGACACAAATATACAAGAAACACGAATAATGTATTTCCTCTGCTCAGGGGAAATCCCACCGCTCAAAGAAAAGAAAACAAACTTATAGAGTAGCCAAAAAAATACAAATATGTGCGCATGGGGGAAAAAAACCGAACTAAGCTACCAAACGAATAGATGATAAAAACAAATGAATAATTAGTTCAAGTCCTAAAAAGTTTTAAGAGTCGAACCTTATTACGTGCCATTTCCGAGGATCATCAAGAGTGATGAGGAACTGTGACCAACAAAGTCGAGCAAGAGACTAGTCTGAGACCTAGGCACCAGAGGAGCTGACCGTGAGTACGAAGCTCTTCCTCTTTCTCTCCTCCTTCCCACCTACGCCATCCCCGAGGAGCAAACGCAGGAAAGATTTATAATTAGAGGAAATCCCACGGAAATAAACCGACATAATGAACTTCCCTTTTCTGGTTCACCCTCATAAAGTAGACCGGGTGGCACCAGAGCCCAAGCCAGCCTGGACCGGGTTTTCTGCACACGACTCTCTCTCTCTCGCTCTCTCTCTCTCTCTCTCTCTCTCTCTCTCTCTCTCTCTCTCGCTCTCTCAACGAAGAATAGTGAAGAATAATAAAAGTTCAAACATGTTTTAAATTATATTTCACCGGAGAAAAATTATATAAAATAATATCGAATTGTGAATTTATCCAACTTATAATTAAAATATAATGAAAGTATATTTAAATATATAATATATTGTATTCAAGTCACTAGAAATACCCTATACTTATCCGAAAAAAAAAAAGAGCCGAGAAACGGATTTTATCAAGCAGTGAATGATATATAAACCCTCTTTCATACAATCCTCAAACAAGAGAACCTAAATTCTTCTATATATACAAATATATCTCAAAATTGGAACCAAAATTTTATTATGAAATCGTTCAGGGGTTGAGCGCAATTTTCCCTCATTCGTTGCCGGCCAGGATACGGGAGGATAAATCGCCGCCCTGCCGACCGGCGGAGAGGAGTGGAAGTTCGGACGGGCAGCTTCCTCTTCTTCCTCCTCCGAAGATGGCGAGTTCGTCTCCTTCGCCGCTAGTGACCGGACCCTGTTCCTCCCACCTTCCTCCAAAACCTAGACAGGTAATCTCCTACCGGCGTTCCCCGGCGGAGGACGAGAAAGAGCGGCCGCTGCCGCCGCCGCCGCCGTCGTCGACTAGCCGGAGGTGACTCCTTCCACGTCCTCTTCTTGGAAAAATTCTGCCTCCCTTTCCCAAATTCTTTTCATATTTGAAGGTCTGAATCGGGATTTCTCCGGCAATGTCTGTATTCCCCAGGGAGATCATACTCAGGAGCAGTGAGCTCGCCACACTCGCCGCCATCTTCCACTTCAGGTTGCTTCATCTGTCAGGATCTCCACCTCTGGTCTGTACAACTCTGTAAACCCTAGATGCTCTCCATTAACGTCTTCCTTGATCTCCCCTCCTGCTTTGAAGTGGGACAAAGCCTGGCTATCTCGGGGTGCAGAAGAGTCCCCCTGCCTTAGCGCTCTGCCCGGCGACGAACAACTGCGTGTCCACCTCGGAGGACGCCGGCGACTCTGCACACTACGCGCCGCCGTGGTAACCTGCGAATCTATCGTTCCAGTATTTTCTTCCTTTGTCCTCAGCAGAGCTCGAGCATAAACCTATCTGTCGATTTAATCGATTTCTCTGTAGCGAGAAAATTCTTAGAATGGGCGATTCAGCGATCACTGTCCGTGACTATGGGAGAAGTAAATGAATTGATTCCGTCGAGCTATTCACCATGTTTCTTCGGTTTCCCCCAGGAACTACAACCCTGAGGACGGTCGCGGGCCAGTGAGCAGAGAAGCAGCAATGGCGGAGCTCCTCGAAGTGGTTAGCGGCCGCCCCTTCCCACCGCATCTCCCTTCTCCACCCATTCACGCTGCCGACGAGTTCCTCCGCCCTCGCAGGTGAAGTCAACCAATGCCAATGGATTCACTCCTCGCATCGCCGAGAAGAAGGACGACTACCTCCGCGTCGAATACGAGAGTCCTATCATGGGAGTAAGACCGAGATCTTAATCTTCATCTCCATCTCCATCTTCTTCCTCGCAATTACAGCCTCACCATCTGCTTCCCGCTCCAGTTCGTCGACGACGTGGAGTTCTGGTTCCCTCCTGGAGAGAAGCCCCTCGTCAACTATCGATCCGCATCGCGCCTTGGAATCCTCGACTTCGACGTCAACCGTAAGAGAATCAAGGTAACACCGACAACTTCCATGGAGTTTGCCTCTGCAACTCTCCGCTTACGGAATCGGCGTGCAGGCGCTGCGGCAGAGCTTGGAGAAGAAGGGATGGGCGTCGGAGTCCGGCTTCTGATGTTCACCATCTTCCGCCAAGACCACACGAAACTCTGCGTTCATGGACTCAAAGATTCAGCGCCATTACCATGATAGATGAGGAATTCTTCTTCGAATCCACAAACCACTGTTGGGTCGCAGCCACTGGAGACGGTAGAGACGAGGATGAAGATATCTGGCTGGATGCCCATATTTACCCTAAAAAAGAAGGATAATTTGGTAGCAAAATCGGCCCAGAAGCCCTTAGGTTCCTCTCTCTCTCTCTCTCTCTCTCTCTCTCTCTCTCTCTCTATTCACCGACGACGATTAACTAAAAATAATGATTTTTTATCCCAGATTTGATAAATATCAATATTAATTGTATCCATTCAATTCAAATAAAAAATTTAGAGAGAGAGAGAGAGCAATTGGGTCAAAAGTGTGGCTAAGTGGGCCAAAGTGGACCATAATGGAGAGTGTGGAGGGCGTCACATGAGCTCTGGCCCACATGACTTTTTCAGGGCCTATTTCGGGCCCGGGCCGAGCCCGATACTCGGAAGACCGGAGAAGTGGACGTTCACGCCGATATTCGTTCCTTCGTGGTGACGTCAGCGTGGCTCTTGATTCCCGCTTGTTCCCGCGCTTTGCCGCCCGGCGGCATGCGGCGGCGGCCGACCTCTCGATCGTGCGCGTGCTTGGTGCCGCCGGGTGGTGCGTCTCGCTGGATACACCATAACGTGGCAGCAAACAATTGGTAAGTCTGTGCGTTTATTCAATTACCCCCATTTACGTAACCTATTACGCGATGCCATTTGACATTTTTGTAGTTGGGCGGGAAGTGGTGAGGACGACCTCACTGCTGAGGCCTGCTACCACGCGCCCGTCCACGTTGGGGACGTTTCTGATGTAATGAGGAATATCGGGGGCATTTTTCGTAAGAATCAGTTATTTTAGAACCTTTCTGTCGTCTCTATCCTCCCCCACTTCCCCCAAACCCTGTCTTTCCAAACGCCACGACTTCGGCTTCTGCGTGAGGTCTGTCCGTCGTCTCCCTGCGCTTCCTTGAATGCTGTTCCCCAACCTGGAGAGGCAGTCCCACCGCCGCCACTGCGCCATCGCCGCCCCAGCCGCCACCGCCGGAGCTGCGTGCTGGTGGAGGCTTCCCCTGATCCGCCTCCATGACGCTGCCTGATTCGAGAATCGGACGTGGGGGTGAGCGCGTGGCCGACGCCCGGCGGCCCGCGTCCTTTCCCTCCCTGCCGCTCATGGATCGGATGACGACGATCAGGCGTCCCGGAAGCCTGCCGCAAGGGATAGGGTGTGGGATGAAGCCGACGAAGCTGCTGCTCAGGGTCACGGTGCAGCGGAACCTGTGGCCTGTCCATGTGATGATCTCGCCGGAGAGCACGGTGGTGGACCTGATCAAGGCTACGGTGGAGGCGTACGTCAAAGAAGGCCGACGGCCGCTGCTGGTGGAAAGAGATCCCCTGGCTTTCGAGCTCCATTTCTCCCAGTTCAGCTTGGAAAGTAAGCCATCTCTTCTGCTCTGGATCTTGCCTGTCCGTCCGAATTTAGTAGGGTTCCGCGAAATCCGTAATTTCTCACGCGTTTTTGCTTGCGTCTCTCTTGGCAGGTTTAAGCAGAGAGGAGAAGGTGATAAACTTAGGATCCCGCAACTTCTTCCTCTGCCTCAAGCCCAGCGAGGCCGCTCCATCTGGTGACTGCCGCCGGGACGAAGCCGAGAACGAATCCTCCAAGTTTCTTCTGCCCCTCCCCAGATTCATAAGCATCGCCCTCAGGCTGTAAGAACTGGATCCGCTCCCCTGTTTCCCCTGCACATGGACATGTAGCGTCCTGATTCATCTCTAGACGAATCAAATCCATTAGAAGAAGAAAAAACCTTAGTCGGATCCCATACTTGACCTCCTCATCTAGATTTGTCCGTAATTCATATCACTTTTCTATTATCAATGGAGTTTATACGATCGTGGCGTTTTTTGAGCCTGAGACGGGGGAATTCACCCTCTTTATGATCCACGTTGCTTTCGCTCATTTATTTACTGATGGTTGGAGAACACGTACTGATCTCGCTCGAGCGAAGGCCGGCTCATCCAGTGCCGCATCCAGAAGAATACTTTTCTAAAAATAGTGATATTCCATTCTTCTAGAACGGTATACTTAAATTCTGGCTGGGGGAAACCGAGGCTCCAGGGCAGAGAGGCTTCTCAGGTGAGCCGGGCCCTGGGATTCGCCTGACGATGATGTGGAGAGCCTTTCACGGGGTGGGGACCACCATTCTACAGGATCAAATTAGAGGATCCGAGGGGCCAATATCTGGACTGTTTTGGAAATTAATGAGAAGTTTGTGACCTTTTTCCATGAACTAGGCCGGCGAGGGTTATGAAAATAGGAAAGACACGAAATAACTGATCTGTAGGGAAATAATAAGCCACGACATTTTTTTTAGTCTCCCTTTTTCCCTAAGATTGGGTTTTCCCCCACCAAGTAGGAATCTTACTCCTTGAACATGTCATCATAAGCAATAGAGATAGAGAGAGAGAGAGAGAGAGAGAGAGAGAGAGGCCGGGATCAACTTTTAATTTATGTCCTCTTGTTAAAATTAATACTATTTTTGAAATGTTCATAAATGAGTTATTAAAAAAAGATCCATATTTCTGAATCAATTAACCATATGCTCGTTCTAACTGACTTTAAAAGCCATCAATTATCATAAGAGAAACGATGATAATAGATTTCACCCATTTACGAGGGATACAGTCTACAAGTATCAATCAATTTAAGAGGAGTTTGGGGAGCATGCTTGAAGCTTTAGTACTCCCTCCCATATATTTATATAGATGTATTTCCCTCCCACCATCCCTCCACCTAGTTCCAACCATGCAGCTCCCTCACTCATAGTTCATCTCTCTACTACTTGTGTTACTTCCAGAGTTAGCCCATCATTAGAGACTTCGTCAAACCTGCCTCCATAAAGTTTTTTGGCTCAGTCCACAAAGAGGTAGATGAGCCTCGTGTTAGCAACCACTACGTTTCATCTTTTTGTGGTCTCTATTGAGTTTCCATTGCTCTTCTGGTATCTAAAGGGAGATTAGGTGACACCATCGGAGGTGCCAAGGGCAAGGTCAAGGCAGACAAAGTTGCTTCTAACTGTCATGGTCTAGTAGAGCCCATTGCTTGTCCATATGGTGATGTCATTGGTGAGCACAATGGTGGACCTGATCGATATATAAAAATGGTGGGCTCAATCAATGGTGGACCTGATCAAATACATTATAAATATTTTTTTGAATTATATTATGGTTTCTAATACAAAAAATATATAACAAGGTAAAGTTGTTGAGTAGGCCTTTTCCATGTAAACCTCTTACAGAAAGGAAAGAGAATGAGATTCACATATTCATATTTTGGGCTACATAGAAAAAGTAAAAATATATTTTCAATAATTACAAACGAAGTTAGCATCCACCATCATAAGAAAGCAGCACCTTGGTGTTTTCTCCTACTTCTTTCTTGAATTTTCTGTCTCATCCCATCAAATATCTTTAGGGATTTGTGTAGCCCCTTTTAGTTTCTTGCGAGCTTTTGTCTTGTCTCCAATATGGTAAGTGAGGAAGAGCTTATAAACTTGGGCTCCCAAAACTTCTTCTCTTACCACAACCTCAACAAAGTCATTGCATCTAGTAAAGTTCAACATACTAGTGCCGATGATACCATGGTTCTCCTTGCTACACCCATCGATGGTGAGATACATGCGCGAGGCATAACGATTCAAGAAGAAACCACCAATAGTGCTGGTGGACCCACTGAAAGAGGTGGTCCTGCCCTAATGCTCACCACACAACATTGTATGCTCATTTTTTAAAAATTATATCAATTTTAGCAAGAGTGAAAAGACATTTTTATACTTTATATGTGTAAAGTCTTGGAATGAGTAGTCTTATTTCCATAGTCTATGACAATCAAATGGCGATCAAAATCAACATCTTAAGTTTTATAATTAGAAATTTTATTTGAAGGTTGTATATGTAGGAAATAGTAACCTCTAAATTTAATCTTTCTAGAAAATTTCTTCTATCTTGCCCTAGTTGTTGGAAGAATAAATTTGAGAAAGGCAAGAAAACACATTAATTATACAGGAAAAATGATTACATCAAATGATGTAGAGGAAGGTGATAGTAGAGAGTTGGAGTGTTGAGGAGAGGAAAATAATGTTATGTGATATCATCTTATGAAGACAAAAAATAAGTTTATATGGTGGACATATGAGAGAGAGAAGAGAAATGATAAAATAAAATAAAAATAAAGTACGTCAAATAAAAGGGTCATGCTACCCAATAATCCTAAGTCCTATGTGTGTACACTTTTCACCATTTTTGTCTTTTGCAATACAACATCACCTTCAACACTCCCTCTTGATGCAAAGTTTATGACATCAAATTATTCAGGACACGATCTTTTATAAATCTGTTTGTAACTTGATCTTGTGTTAAGCAAAATTTAATATGGATTAATATTTATTGCGCCAAGATGATGTACTATAAAACAATGTATAAATCTAGAAATCATAATATTTTCCTCACTTTTTAATTTAATATATTTAATTATCAACAAAACTTGTAAATTTATCATTAAAATTTAATCATAAATTAAAAAATCATTTTATCTACTTTTAAATAGACTACTCATGATTTCAATTATTATATTAATCTCAATAAATTTATCAAATGACTCTATATTTTGATTATAAAAGTATATTATGTTCATATGAATAAAATCAGCAATAATTAATAAAATATGCATTGTTATTTAGTAAATAAGTCTTTATTGCACTAAAAATATATGTTAAAGAATTAAATACGTAATATTTTTATTATGAAAAATAGTTATATCATCAATTAAAATATCATATTATGCTTAATTTTAATTATACTTGATATAAGATTTAATGTGAATGTATATCTATCATTCATTATAATTTAATATTCAAATAAGAATTCATTAAACACACTTGTGGCCACTAATGTTAATCTGTATATTTGATTGATTTCACCATATAAAATTATTATGATTTAAGTTATGATGGAAAGTGTTAGTGTTTACAAAATATGCCACATTGAGAAAGTAATAAATGGTACGTTAGAATCAATTAGAATGTTCGAAGTAAATCTGAGTATGAAAACCTAGCTTTTTTATATGCTCATAATATTAGATTATTAATTTACAATTATTTTAATATCAAATTAATTGATTTAATTATGAATGTGTATTTTACCACATATTTTTTTAACAAAGTTATTAAATATATTTTAGATATCTTAAATCACCAAAACTATGGTTATATATATTGAAATCATGACTTAATATATTTATGTGATACTAATATTTTGTTGATATGGTTTCAATCAGATTTTTGTACTACATCACCAGTTTATCCAAATGTATATTGTTGCTTCTATTTAAAAAATATTACTCCTTATCAATCTTGATTCAGATGCTATAATTTGGATATATATATATATATATTTAACAGAATTATACACAAGGATATTCAAACTTTTAAAGACCATATTGTATTACTTTTTCAACCATTTGAATTTCTAATTATTTCTCAAAATATATTTGCTCAAAGATGATAGAAAATAGAGGAAGATTTAGAATCTTATTTTTCTATAAATATAATTCCTTTCTAGTAGTTAATCAAATGATCATGTCTAAACCCCCCATGACCTTGAAGGTTGTATTTATTTTTTCTATAGAAAAGGGTGAAATAAATTATGAGAATTTGACTAGCTAGTGAAGTAATATAAAGACATTAAGGAGTATTATTTAAGCATTCAACAACCATTTTTGTCTAGATCAAAAGGACAATCCCTTTCATCTTTAGCCAAAAAGAGCATAATAAATATTAAGCCTTGATTATCATTATTTTCATCAAAATTTCAAATGAGTTTCAAATCCACATCATTTTTTGGAAAACAACTCATAGTGAAATATTTAATATTTTTAGTGAGATAAGCATAAGATTAAGTTTCTATTTAATGTTGACCTTTTAAATTTTTGAATTTTTATGATATGTTCGATAGTGATATTAGACTCTTGGCGCACTATGGCCCATTATCTATCTCTTTCTTCTCATCTCTCTTCTCTCCTATATAAGAGTCATGTATTCTACTTTGATGTTTTATGAAATCTAAGGTTTTCTCTTCTTGTGTCAACATTATATTAGAGCCCTAGGTATCTCTCATTATTGTCCTCCTCTTCGGTGCACCACCCATCTCCAATGCATCACTCTCTTCCTCGTCGGCCTCTTCCCTCCTTAGGCAGCTCTTTGGCGTCGCCGCTCTTGCCTCTTCTAGTATCGTCATCTCTGTTATCACTCTCCTTCTCCTTTCAGTGCCGCCCTCTTTGCCGCCATCGCCCCTCACCATTGTCGTTGCCCTCCTCCTCTTCTCCGGCATCTCCGCCATCATCACCGCCTTTGAGGCCCCTCCTTGCTGTCACACCCTTACTGTCGTGCCCCAACCCTCACTGTCACCGTCATAGGCATCATTGACGTTAGTCGCCATCATGCCACCACCATCGCCACCCCTCACCCTCATTACCCTTGCCATCGCACCCTTGTCGTCGCACCCTTGCCGTTGCATCACCACCATTGCTGCCCCTCACCTTGCCACCGTCGCCATCTAGCTGTGGTAGCTAGGGCTCCATCCGCCTCTCAGGGAGTTAGTCAGCTCGCCAATCGACCCACCAGCCTCATGGCGTCCTCTCACCCTCCTCCGTCACCT